TTTTTTTTGTCTTTTTTTTTTTCCATTTTCTTCTTTTGTTGTTGTTGTTTTAGCACCTGTACAATAAAACTGTACCATCTCCAATCAGCTGGCCATAGCCAGGCCCTCCTGCCTTTAGATGGTACATACTCTCTACAAGGATTGTTTGGAAAAAATAGCAATTGGTAGAAAAATAAGAACAAGAGTAGGAAAGACAATGCCACAGAGGGGGGAAGGGACAGGGAAACAGCCCAAGCTCCTCCCCTCTCTCCCTCTCTCTCCTTCAACAAACCCAGTGCTGGAGGCCAGGAGGGAGGCCTGGCAGGGGCCCCACACTCAGCCCCAGGTCCTGAGGCGAGGTGGGAGTGGAGCCCGGCTAGAGCCCAGGCTCCTGCCCTCACCTAGGAAACAGCTGAGGCCTGGATCTCACATCTGGCCATCAATCCCGGAGCCCTCTGCAGATTCCAAAGGAGAATGGGGGGCAGAGGGAGAAGCAGGGAGGAGAGAGAAAGTGGGTGCTGAATCTGGGAAGGGGAGAGGTGATAGGCAAGGGCTGGGAGCTGAGAGGCTCAGCATCCAGAAGGGGCAAAGGCAGAAAGGGGTGGGGTGGATGGAGGTGCGGGGGTGGGCGGAGGAGACGTGGGAACAAGCCCATGTTGTGCACTCTGAGGGGAGCAGTGAAGGAAGTGTGAGGAGGGGTGACCTTAGCTTTCACTCCCATTCTTGACTCTCCCCAAGTAGAGTGACTCACTAGCCCCTCGCCCTCACAATCCACCCCTCCCCAGAAACCTCCCTAATCTCGAGACAGGGCTGCTGTGAAGGGCAGGTGGTAAAACAATTAAAAAATGGGGGGGGAGCACCAAAGCCTCAGGATTATCCTCAATCCCCCCAGCCCCAGGCCAGCACCAGCCACCTTCATCAGTCACGGGTCCTCGGCCCCCTGCCCCACCTGCCCCCTCCCCAGTGGGGTGAAAACAAACCTGGGAGTAACTGTCAGAGGGAGGGGGCAGCTCCAGAGCTTATCAAGAAAGACAAAGAAAGGAGGTGAAGAAAGTCCCTCAATACAACAAGTTGTCTCAAATCGTCACAGTGATACAGACTTATCAGAAACCAATGAAACAATACAAATTAAATACTAATAAAATAAATACTATGGAAGACAGAAGAACACAGGGGAACGGAGGGGGCGCTCAGAGATTTGGCCTTTTCTCATTTCTCCTCCGGACAGGCTGAGGCCACCCCAAGGGACCCTGGCACCACCTCCCACCATCCCCAGGACCTCTTGCCCTCAGACGTGGAATTCAACTTTCCACCCCCATCACCAACCACAACAACAATGACGATGACAGGGAGATGAGAACTAATTATAACCAGAAAAAAAAAAATCCAGTCACTAATGCTGGCATTGATAAGGCGGCTTCTTGTTGGTCCGTATTATTGCCTCATTCTGCAGTCTGGTGCTTGGTGGGGGAAAGACATGGGAAGTGGGGAAGGGTGAACTTGGGAGGAGAAAGAAGAAAAGGGAGGGGCTGTTTTCCCGGTCAACTGTTCCAGGGCTGGAACTCCACCTCAGACCCCAGGAGCCGAAGTAGCTCTGGCTCATACCGCACCAGCTCCACAGTCTCAGAGGAGCCTGGGGCAGATCTGTCGTCCATGCCTCCGGGCCTCTCGGCTGGGGTCAGAAGCTGACTGGAGGCCACCTGCCGGTAGAACTCGGCCTTGGGCAAGGTGGCAATTTCAAAGTGCGGGAACCGAGCCTGAAAGATCCTGGAGGAAAGCTTCAGCCTCTTCAGGACATCGGTAAAGAGGAACCAGTTGCAGGGCCTGGAAGAGGCAAGAGTAGGAGTTATGGAAGAGGCCTGGGGGGAACCAGTGGGGTGCCAGGAACACTCTGGAAGGCCCAGGAAGGCTGCCAGTTTGGCTACCTGTCCCCCACCCCCAAACTAAACCATGGGCTCCCTGGGTGTCACTGAGGCAAAAATCTCCTGTGCTAGCCTACACTGGCTGAACCAGCTTTCAGCTCAGTTGTGAGCATTCAACCCGTGACTACCTCTTCCTTTTAAAATAGTGGGAGCAGGAAGGAAAGGGACCTTCCAGAACCCAAAACTCTTAGCAGGCATCCCCAGGCCTTCCCCATACCCCGTGACCTGGAATTTACCATCTGCTGGGACCAGTTCTTTCCTCTACTACCCCGTACTGGTTTCCCTTTCCTGTTCTCACTCCTGTTTCCCGTGCCTCTTCGTTCTCCAAGACCTTCCCCAACAGACGGGGAGCCGTGGAGAAAGGCCTAAACTGTGGGTAATCTAAAAGGCATTTCTCTTTGGCTCTGGAATGCATTAGACAAGTTTTTTCTCCAGCGGCAGCACCATCGTTTCTGCAGGGCCAGAGCTCACGTTACAGCCAGTCTGACTCTGCTGAGCACACCCGAATGGCCTGGGCGGCAGCCTGGGGACAGCTGGGAGGGGTGCCGGGGAGGCCGATCATGGGCCATGCGCTTGCTTCGACTAAACCAGGAAGAGACACTGCATTCCCCTGATGATGGTCCCGTCTCCAAGGCTGTCCGTCCTGGCCATTGCCCTGTCCTACCGGCAGCATTTGTGTCAGCCTCCTAACTGGTCTCCCCCCCGCTAAGAGTCTCCCTGCTGCACCCCCACCTACCCTCACTGCATCCGTTACTACCCCTTTTCTAAAAAAGAAAATCTGGCCTTCTCACTCCCTAAACTGCTTTCCATGGATCCCCAGTACCTCCAGCAAAGAGACCTCCACATTCATTACCATGATATTATGGCAAGACCTTTCAAACATGACCCCATTCAACTCTTCAGCCCAACCTCTCCTAATAACACACACACACTCACACACACAGTGTACCCCCCACCCCACCAAGTGCCAGACATTTGCTGAAGGACAAGCCCCACTTTCTGAACTTGTCTGTCTCGTGCCTCTGCTTGTGCCTCGCCCTCCATCTTCCCCTCCTCTCAGGCCCAGCTCAGGCGCCATCTCACCTGTGAAATGGGTTGTTCCCATTTCACAAAACTGCCTGTTCATCCCATCTTCCACAGTGGCATGGCGCTTGGTTCATACCCCTTTTATAATACTTAGAACATGACCCATTTCAGAAAGGATACAAAAGAAATGTAAACTGTGGTTTTCCCTGTGACACAGGAATGGGAGCTCAGGGTGGACTAGAACTTCTATTATTCATTTGACACCTTTCTGAACTGCATTAAATTTTTATAATAATAAATCCACTTTGGACATATTGTCTTTTATTAGAACTAATTGTATACTTGTCTGCCTCCTCCTCTAGACTGGAGATTCTTTGAAGGCTGTATTCTGGCCCTCAGGGTTTGACTGGTGTGCCTGCTGAAGACACGTTTATAGAATTGAGTGTTTTCTTTTGGGGCACCTGGGTGGCTCGGTTGGTTGGGTGACTGGCACTTGGTTTTGGCTTGGGTCATGGTCTTGTGGTTCGTGGGTTCAAGCACTGCATCTGGCTCTGTGCTGAGGGTACGGAGCCTGCGTGGGATTCTCTCTCTCTGCCCCTCGCCTTCTCGCTCACACTTTCTCTCTCAAAATAAACTTTAATAAAAAGAACTGAGTGTTCCGTACAACACCTACCACTTCTACCCAGACCCACAGTCCTTCTCCCTAAAATGCAACACTCTTCCCTGTGACACTAACCCCTTTTCTCACACCATCAGGAAATGGAATGCTCTAGGTTCAGAGGAAGGGACTACAGACACCATTCCCTTGAACCATCACTTTCAAAGAATGGAAAAGACCCCTCAGAACATTAACACTTGGTGGTCAGAATTCAGCTTTGCTTTGATGACTCGAAGGCACTTCGGTGGGTCATCATTCTACACCCTTCCTACTTCTTGAAGAACATTCATTTCACAGTGTGCTGCAGTGGTGGGCAAGGGCAGATTCAGAAGAGGCACAGAAGGATGTAATGTCAGGAAAACCAGCTTTGCCCATACCAAGTTCTCAACTGAAAACCTGCCTGCTGCTCGGGTGGCTGAGTGGCACGTGGCTCTCAGTTGCCCTGTGTTCTGTCTACACCTGATGCACACTAGCCTGGTCCTTCTACTGCCTGGAGCCCAAGATCCTGTTTCAGAGAAGGAGGTGCTGAATACTCTGGAGGAATTAATTAACTGTGCAATACTATATCTCAGAGGCCTGGCCCCACCCTCTGGGATCAGCTGATGCCCAGAAGAATAAGGACCAAAAGCCCCTGAAACTTGATCCAAACCAGTGTCATCATATAGGCTATTTTTATTCTTATCAGCCCCTGGGGGAAGGGATGCAAAGAAACCATGGCCGGATGGTGAATGGTTAGAGTAGTCAACTTGAGGGACTCACTTGAAGGGCTCCTAATCCATTGTGCACCCCTCTCTCGACCATGTGCATTTCATGTGCCTTCACTTTTTTAGAAAGACAGGGTCTAATGTTTCCAAAATAGGTATCAAAGAACAAGTACCCTTAAAAGTATCTGCAAACATATTGGAAAAGAGGAAGAAAACACCTAATGGTGGAGGCTGATAATAAAAAGACAATTCATTCTGCATCCTCCTGAGCAGCACTGCCACACACTGCCATCCGTAAGAGCCAAAAAGGACCATGGCCTCCAGGCTGTCCCTTCTGAACCCTCAAATCAAGATTTAACTGGGTTCGGTCTAATGGTAAGCATCAAGTATATTCTACTCTCCAAAAACAGGTGATGCCTGCTAACAATACACACAGTGATCTGAGATGACAGCACTGAGGCCATCATCTCGCCAACATTAAGGCTACAAGAAAGCAGCCTGCGGATTACTTAAGGACCCCAGCAGCCCCTTAGCTATGGCAAACATATGTCTCGGCTTTTCCAAGAATCTCAATTTCAAATATACTGTCTGGCTGTTCCCAGAAACCACAGAAATGTTCCAGAGATTCTAATAGTGCATCAGCTCAAACATCTCCCAGATCATCTCTCACACCCAGGAACAGCAGAGCAATTCTTTAGAGAGTGAATCTAGATTCTTTGAATCTAGATTTTGGGTTTGGGAAATACATATAGTCAATATACCTAGAGCTTACAGCCTCTGTTCTGAATGTAACTAATCAGGGCTGGAAAGTCAGGCTGGCCTTGGTCATATGTCAGGTTTCCTAAGCTCCAGCATGTGCTCTTCAGGTCTCTGCTTCCTTCTGGAGAACTCCCCCATTCCCAGGGAGGCAGACTAGGGGTTGCCAGGATCCTGGCACTCAGTCCCTGTAGCTCTTAGACACTTACCCGCGGGACACTGACACTTGGAGGTTGTAGCAAGGGAGAAGAGGCTTGTCTGAGAGCTCAAACATAAAGTCATCCTCTTCCACATCATCTCCTTCTTGATCAGAGTTCCCAGGAGGATTATGGAGGAGGTCACAGGCAAAGCCATCTTTTTCTTCTGTAAGGATAGCACATGGGATATGAGGACTTAGCTACATGCACAAAACTGAAGAAAAAAAAATGTTTCAACAAGATAAAGAGGCACAGAGGTGGGTGATTAGGACATAAGCAATAAGTTCACAGACCCCCAGTTGGGGCCAAGTTTTGCTGATCCCATGGCTCCCATCCTTGGGAGGGCATGTGAAAGTTCTGTCCCTGGAAGACAGTAGTTTCTGGCCAGAAATTCATTATACTCCACCTTTCAGCTGGAAAACAGCTGGATGCTGTAAAGGACCAGCCGCTCGGCCTTTGGAAATGGAGCCCGATGACACTACCAGCAGTCAAAGGCAAGGTAGAAACACCTGCCATGCCTGTGGGGCTCTCAGGAGCCCAGAGGGGCCACTCAGTCAGTTCCCATCCCCGGCTATGTGTCTGGGTGTGGCATATTTCATTCCATCCCAACCTTCCCCAGCTCCAGCTTCCCCAAAGCTTAGGGGTGGACACCTCCCCCAACCTGCCGCCCCGGCCCCAGGAATGAGTGCTAGCTGACTGCCACAGAGAGAGACGCTTCCTAGAGAGAAAAGCTTGGGTTAGAGGCTACGGGCCTGGGAGGCAGCAGCTGTCTCTGAAACTGTGCGTGGTGGGAGTAGGGCAGGGAGAGAATGATCATGGCCAGGCGAGGGGCTGGGTCTCTCTTGAGTGTGAACAATGCCGGAAGAGATGACAGTGCAACACAGGGGCTTGTGGCAGGGTTAGTACGAAGCAAGGGAGGAGAAAGGCACTTGGAAGAGAGCGAATAAAAACAATAGCCAGGGCATAGGTGGTGGAGGGCAAATGAGGGGTGGTTTTGTGGCATCCCTGGTTTAGGCCAATGTATTCTGAGTCTAGGGGGAGCATGGGCTAGTGTTCAGGTTGAAAGGGTGTGTAAGGTTCTGTAAGTTACTAACAGGTGCAGAAAGGCAGCCTCCCTTCTCACCCCCGTCTTTGAGAAGAATCCGTGAAACCCAAAGCAATCCCCCATGTCTGGGCCACAGACAAGCATGGGAGGAACCCGACTCAAAGCTTACCCAACACAGAACTGCTGTAGAAGTCCCAAGACACACCAGGGTCACCCTCTGCCCGGCCCTGAAGATCTGAGAGGTGATCTGATGAAAGAAGAGAAGGCAATGAGACAAGGAGGGTGGGCTGGAGGAGGGCCTAGAAACAAAGTACATCTATATGGGGCCAGGAGAATGGGAGAAGGGAAGGAAAGAACACAAGAGGGTCTGGGGGCTAACAGGGAGAGATATGTTTCCTGCTGTCAGTCAGAGGTTACCAACCAACATCCAGGACCCAAATCTAGCCCACTGACGACTTGGGGTTTGGCCCAGTGTTTTAAACCAAAAAAAAAAAAAAAAAAAAAATGTTGAACATTTTAAAATTTAGAGATTTCACCTAAAAATCTGGATTTCCAACTTTTCTTGAAAAAAAAAATCAGAAAATCTGGCAACACGGCATCCCACATTCCTGCATGTCAACAGTTGGCTGGAGGGAGAGGCGACATGTGCGTTCTCCTGTTCAACAGTCCCCACCCAGCCTGCTCTGCTCTCTTACATGATCAGCCTGAAGGCATTTAGGTCTGGGATCCCTGCTTTTAACGGTATAGGGAATGGACTCTCCCAGAACAATCTCAGACCTGTCCCAAGATTTCAATTCCCTGCAGGTCACGATGTTCATACAGCCAATCAGGATCTCTCCAGTTCAAAGTAAGATAAGGAAGCAGAATTCCTTCATCTTTGAAAAACATGGGGGAGAGGGCCACGTGTACCCTCATAAAAACCTTTTGCTTCCACTCGTAGGTGTATACCCCCAAAGAATTGAAAACAGGTGTTCAAACAGAAACTTATACACAAAGGAATGTGCATAGCAGGTCTACTCACAATAGCCAAAAAAGTGGAAACAATCCAAATGCTGTTAAGCTGATGAAGGGATAAACAAAACGTGGTCCATCCATATAATGGAACATTATTCAGTTATAAAAAGAAACAAAGTACTGACGTATGCTACAACATGAATGAACCCTAAAGACATTATACTAAATGAAAGAAGCCAGATGCAGAAGGCCATATACTGTATAATTCCATGTATATAAGATATCCAGAACAGGCAAATCTACAGAGACAAAAAGCACATGGGTAGTTGGGAGGGAACAGGAAGTGACTGCCTAATGGGCATAGCGTTTCCTTTCGGTGTGATGAAGAAGTTCCGAAACTCAGTAGTGGTGATGGTTGCACAACATTCTGAATGCACTCAATGTCACTTCACTGTACACTTTTTAAATGGTTGAAAGAGTAGGGGGCACTTGGGTGGCTCAGTCCGTTAAGCATCTGACTCTTGATTTCAGCTCAGGTCATGATCTCACAGTTTGTGAGATAGAGCCCCAGGTCAGGCTCTGTCCCAACAGTGTGGAGCCTGCTTGTATTCTCTCTCTCCCTCTCTCTCTGCCCCTCCCCCACTTGCTCTCTCGTTCTCAAAATAAAAAATTTTTAAATGGGTTAAGGGGCACCTGGGTGGCTCAGTTGGTTAAACGTCTGACTTCAACTCAGGTATGATCTCACAGTTTGGGAGTTCGAGCCCTGTGTCCAGCTCTGTGCTTACAGTGTGGAGCCTGGATCCTGCTTTCAGATTCTGTGTCTCCTTCTCTCTCTGCCCCTCCCTCACTCGCTGTCTGTCTGTCTCTCTCTCAAAAATAAATATTATAAAATAAAATAAAATAAAAACAAGACAATTAAAAGGTTAAAATAGTAAATTTTATGCTGTAAGTATTTTGCCACAATAAAAAAAAATTTAGGGGCACCTGGGTGGCTCAGTCGGTTAAGCAGCTGACTTAGGCTCAGGTCATGATCTCACGGTCCATGAGTTCGAGCCCCGCATCAGGCTCTGTGCTGACCGCTCAGAGCCTGGAGCCTGTTTCAGATTCTGTGTCTCCCTCTCTCTCTGACCCTCCCCCGTTCATGCTCTGTCTCTCTCTGTATCAAAAATAAATAAACGTTAAAAAAAATTAAAAAAAAAATTTAAACCGCCTTTTGCTTATTTGATAGGAGGCTAGACATCAGGTCACCCCTCTGCCTCCTTGTCTCCTAGCTAAGCATCACCTAGTAGAACTGCTTCACCTCTCAGCCATACATGTACAAAAGGAGATTTTCATGACAAATTCAACTGTGGCATCTGTGGGCACATGGCCCAGCACAGTTGGCAAGCTGATTTAGCTCTATAATGGTTGCTACCAGCGCTTAGGTGACACCCAGGCAAAAGTACAGGAGAGAGTCCAAAGGGCACAGGTGATGTGAGGGAGCCCTCTGGAAACCAAATCCCAGGAGGAAGCTGGAGGCCACTCCTAAAGGCACGAAGCCAACCCCCCTGATGAAATGCACCACTGCACTCCAATATACTTTCCTTTTGGGTCGTACAGTCTATCAGCAAAAATGCCTATTAGCTGTTGTGAGCTACTGAAAGAAGTAACTTTTTAGCAACCTTCTACGAGATGAAGGGTTTCTTCTGGTAGGAAAAGGCAGCCAGAGAGAGCTTTCAAAATAATGGCTGAGCAGCTACAGTGGAAAACCTTTAGTCACGCACATTATATCTTCTTTATGTACTCCACAAAAAACTCTTGAGGTCATGACTGCCAGTTTCTGTGCTCTTCTGGGCCCCTGCCCCCTGAGAGTTGGAAGGAGTTTCTTCAGAAAGCATCTGTCAGTTAGGTAGGTGCCTATTCTGTGCCTGGCCTTGTGCTAGGTGTCCTGGGAGATGGAGGCATGAGATCATAAGTCTCCAAGAGGCAGGGAATATATATGTCTGTCTTGTTCATCATTGTCTCCCCATGGCCTGAGACCAGGTGCCTGGCACATAGTAAGAGCAAATAAATATATGGAGAAGACAGGGAGGGAAGGAGGAATTACTACAAGGCAAGACCTAAAGCCTGCTTAACTGGCATGCTGAAACACCCGTGCTCCAAGGACTGTCGTCTCCCCAGGAAATCACATGAGGATTCCATCAAAGCCCTAGTTCACCACATTCTTGGGGCTCCTCTCTAGGGACTGCCTTCAGAGCCCCCAGAACATTCCACTAATTCTCCTCACTGACAGCAAATCTTTGTCATTCTCAGGTGAATATGCCCTTCTGAGGCAGCCCAGTGTGCATTGGCACGAGCAAAGGTACAATCGTCTGGGCAGGCCCATGAGCTGCACGCCAGAAGCAGCTCCCACGGTTGCTTGATGGTGTGCCTTCTGGTCATGTTTCCTCATAGGCCTTAACGTACAATTGGGACAGAGAGGGACATTTCTCTCCCTTGACTGTCCCCCGCCCCTCCTATAACTTTCAGTCCTTTACTCTTCTCCTTTCCACCAAAAAGTGCCCTCAGCCCCGCAATCCTGCCCCTGGGTATATATCCACAAGAACTGAAGACTGGTACTCAAGCAGATGCCTGTACACACGTGTTCATAGCAGCACTGGTCACAACGGCCAAAAGGTGGACACAACCCAAATGGCCCATGAACCAATGAAGGCATAAGGAAAATGGGGTAGATCCATACAATGGCATACCCTTTAGCCTCAAAAAGGAAGGAAGTACAGGGTGCCGGGGTGGCTCAGCTGGTTAAGCTTCTGACTCTTGATTTAAGCTCAGGTCATGATCTCATGGTTCATGGGTTCAAGCCCTGCATCGGGCTTCGTGCTGACAACGTGGAGCCTGTTTGGGATTCTCCCTCTCTCCCTCCCTCCCTCTCTGCCTGCCCTGCGCGGGTACACACACACACTCTCTCTCTCTCTCTCAAGTTAAATAAATTAACTTTAAGAAAAAGGAAGAAAGTACTGAAGCATAGTACCACATGGATGGACCTTGAAAAACACAATGCCATGTGAGAAAAGTCAGACACAAGAGGCCCCATGCTGTATCATTCCATTTATATGTAATATCCAGAATGGGCAGGGCCATGGAGACAGAAAGTACATGGGTGTTTGCCAGGGGCTGGGGGAAGGGGGGAAATAGAGAGCAAATGCTTAATGGATTTGGGGTTTCATTTTGGGGGTGATGAAAAGGTTTTGGAACTAGACAGAGGCAGTGGTTGTACAACATTGTGACTACACTAAACGCCACTGAATTGTTCCCTTCTAAATGGCTGGTTTTATGTTATGTGAATTTTGCCTCAATAAAAGAAAAATTTTAAGTACCCAAGGTGAGCGGTCACCCTGGCAATCAGAGTTTCTCTCTTTCTCAGGGTCCTGTCATACCACTCCCCATGTCCTCCAACCAAGTCACTAGCCGAGGGACATGAAAGGAGAGGAAAAAAAACAACAAGTGGTCTTCGACATGGGGTCATATGGCAGAGGTCTCAGGCAGGAAAAACAAAAACCTGTGATTCAGTGACCTCTCGGGTGGTAAACTGCTAACCCTTTCATCAGTGGAAGAAAAAGCAGTCCTGATCCTTCCTCGGATGCCCCAAAACCAAACTGCAGCAACTCCCCTCGGCCCCCACATACTTTCTGACAGATGAAAACGAATCTGTTTTCCCTTGACTAGCCTGGGTATTATTCTTTTCTTCAAAGGGTCAAAGGCAAATCAGTCACATGCCTGCCTGTAATTTGGTCCAAGGAGGAGGTCTTCCAAAGGCTTCTTGGACAGTTGCATGGCTTGGTGCCCCAAGCCCAAGGACAAGGGAGAAAAGGTTTGCGTTTTGACCTCCAGTACCCAGCACTGTACCTGAAACCTAACAGGGCTCAATAAATGCATGGATGGATGAATGGAAGAAGGGGTGCCGCTGTATCCTTCATGATCTCTGGAGAAACGGGCCTCACTTTAAGCCAACTCAATATAGAAAAATCCACATTTACAACCCAGATGAATTACCAGCACCTTCTGCATTGCAAAAGGATTCACTACAGGATATTTGTAAATAGTGACATTCCTTTGTATATTTAAAAGAGGGTTTGGTTCCCAGACTTTTCCAGAACAGGAGAAGGAAGCTCCACACCAGGAGCGACAGTGAGGCTCTCGCTCATCGTTTCCACCTGCAGAAAATGGAGCCCTTTGCACCCTACAGGGATTCGCCTTCATTTTCTGCCCAGTGGGATATCCACCAGGGGAGGGAGAAGACAATTAATCTACAGAGAGTCTGGTCAGGCAAATGTTTGGGGATGAAAAGAAAAAAGCTTTTTAAATACTTCTGCCCAACAGGCAAAGTTAAAAAAAAATACATCTAGGGGCGCCTGGGTGGCGCAGTCGGTTAAGCCTCCGACTTCAGCCAGGTCACGATCTCGCGGTCCGGGAGTTCGAGCCCCGCGTCGGGCTCTGGGCTGATGGCTCAGAGCCTGGAGCCTGTTTCCGATTCTGTGTCTCCCTCTCTCTGCCCCTCGCCCGTTCATGCTCTGTCTCTCTCTGTCCCAAAAATAAATAAACGTTGAAAAAAAAAAATTAAAAAAAAAATTAAAAAAAAAATACATCTAGAAGTCCACCCAAACGCATCCAGATTTAGGGGCTGGGGCGGTGGGCAGTGAGGGAAATGCTTCCCACACTTCTCAGCCCATGGCGCTTCCTCCAGCCACTAGATCACCCTGTCCAGTGCTTCTGTGACATCTGGTGTGGGTGGGGGGGAATGGCTGGGATTAATACAAAAGAGAAATACTCAGTTCAAGGAATTAAGCCCCTGATGATAGTTACATAATATTGTCAATATGCTAAGTGCCACTGAATCATTCACTTCCAAATGGTTATATTAGGTGATTTTCACCTCAATTAAAAAAAAAAAAAACTGAGTATTGTCTTCTCATCTCCCCAAAACAACCTCTGGGCCCAAGTTCCCTCTCTCAGGAGCCTGCTGACTCCTGCCAGTATCTGCCTCCCTGGGGCTAGGGCCAGGTGCTGCTAGCACTTTCTCAAACAGCCAGAAAGAGATCTACGTCTGAGCATCACTTGGTATTTGCATGGAAAAGAGGTGGCCCTGTTCTAACACTCCGTTCAGTTCAGTTCTGGCCCCCATGATGAAACTGTAGCTCTGTGCCTAAGGGGTTGAGAAACAATGTCAAGATCTGCATGAAGGTGTTTGGTTTGGACATGCTATCAAGTGTCAGAATTAAGAGAAGTCTTCTCTTGGGGCGCCTGGCTGTCCCAGTTGGTGGAGCATGCGACTATTGATCTCAGGTTTGTGAGTTTGAGCCCCATGTTGGTTGTAGCAATTACTTAAAAATAAAATCTTTATAAAAAAAAAAGTAAAGTCTTCTCTTGACTCTGCAACATGAGCTGGCATTCAGGTTAGTTTAAGGAGGCATCAAAAAGCTGGCTAGTAGGGACCCTTGAGTGGCTCAGTTGGTTAAGCGTCTGACTTAGGCTCAGGTCATAATCTCACAGTTTATGAGTTCGAGCCCCACGTCAGGCTCTGTGCTGTCAGTTCAGAGCCTGGAGCTTGCTTCAGATTCTGTGTCTGCCTCTTGCTCTCTGCCCCTCCCCCACTCATGCTCTGTCTCTCAAAAAATGAATAAACGTTAAATAATTTTAAAAAGAGGCTGGCTAGTAGCTGGGATTAGCTAACAGAAATGGGAAGAGATAAAAATGGGTTTGTTTCTAAATTTTTAGTTACTGAAAATGGTCTCAACATTCGAATTCCTTTGGGATTTTGGAGAAAGGGTCGGGGAAGAAAGGAGTTTGTCCGCTTATTGAGGTGGTCAGAGATGGCTTTATTTGGATCCAGAGGGTCCCAAGACCCGCCGGAGGGCAGTCTCTAGCACAGAGAGGCCCTGGATTAAACCTGTTGGTCAGAGACAGAGCTTCATGCAGTGCTTTTATCTTGTTGAGAAGTTCTGGATGTTCATCTGTGCCAGCTTCCCCTGGGAATCAGCTGGAGTGCAGACAGCATGTGTGTGTGTATCTAAGACAGTGCATGTGGTACATGATATGTGAGAAGGGGCCCTGAGCCCCCAAGATGGTGCAGCCAAAGTGAACAAGAGTCATCACTGGCCCGGGACAAATGACTGAATGAGCAACCCCAAACTGCTCTGCCCTTTACAGACAGTGGCCTGGGACAGCCCCAGAGCTGGGGGGAGGGAAAAGGCAGACCTGCCACCTGGCCAGGTCCCGCTGGGGGGCCTGAAGCCTGGACACAGTGACCAATGACTGCAGGGTTTGGCGGCTTTACTGGGGGCCCAATGAAGGATGGCTGAGCAGGAAGGAGTCAAGGCCTCCCTCCACGGCTTTCCATCACTTCTCCCTCAGCTTTTATTTGTATCAAGGTGGTGCTTCCCACCTAGTCCTCCTTCCATTGGGACCTTTAGTTCACATTCCTTTGTTTCTTCCTCCATCATCAGCTACCTAGTTAACCTTTGTTCAATAAATAAATGATCTCCTGGTTGGGAGCCCAGAACTGTATTTGGGGAGGTGGGGATTCAGGACTATCTAGGGCCACAGCCCGGGTGAGAGTCAGTGGCCTTGAGCAAACCCTTTGTCCCATAGGATCCCAGTCTGAAAGAGGTTCAAGCACAAACAATGAAGCCTCCACAGAGGGTCAGTGAGACACTGCCAGCGGCTCCTTCTGTTGGGCACTCTGGCAGTGTGAAGAAGAAACTGCTAGAGCAAGGGCCGAGCTGTGATGTCACCAAGGAGGCGGAGTTCCTTCATCCAGAGGTCAAGTCTGAGGAGATTCCCAGTGAGCATGCCCACACTAGACGTACCCACTTCTGTCCTTCCCACTGCCCAACTGGGTAGAGCTACCTAATTGCAGACAAACCATGGCTGTCCACTAATGAGAACATAAATGCATGTTGGCTTGTGGCCCTTGTCATGGGCCTGAATACCAGACACTCTTCCAGAGGGGTCAGGTGACAGAGGAAGAAAAAGGTACAGGGGGGTACAGAGGGAACATCAGTTACCACAGGCAGGGGCTGTGAGAAATACAGCATTAGGAGGGGTCCTGAAGGTTCCACTGTGATCACCAACAAGGAGAAAGTGCAAGAACAAAAGCAAAATGCTAAGTGTCATTTCTTAGTAACTAACATCCTGTTCAAAACATGGGTCAACACACTTTGCCCCCAGTGGAGCTGCTGCCTCACAAGGAGGCCTACCTCACATGCCTAGATAGGAAGCGGGTCCCTGTGGACTACCACGACCCTGAAGAGGATGCATGCGATATGGACACTCATAGTACTGGAACAAGAGGAAGTGGACCTTTAGGCTTTTTCAAGTGCATAGAGATTTCAGAGACGCTTCAAGGAAAGCCTGCAGAGGGCTGACACCTCTCATGGGAGTTGAGATGGAGAGAGATGAAGAATACCTCCTCAGGAGTTTAGGAATTGGAGGCTAGCCCCAAGGAGGATGGCTTCAAGCCTGGGCTGTGCTTACCGCTGAGAAAACGCTTCATGGTGTCGCTGCTGGCCAGCTTCATGGCTGTCTGTCCCGAGTAGGTGGCCAGTGTGGGGTCGGCCCCATAAGACAGCAAGAGCCAGATGGTCTCCAGGTTGTCATTGACTACCGCATCATGAACTGGCCTGCAGAGATGACACAGGGTGAGGACAACAGGGCCCAAGTGGGAGCCTGGGTGTCTAGGCCTCAGACTACTTCATCAGGGGAAAATAAAGTAAGATGACCCTAGGATAATGTGGGCAAGACTTAGGGCAGAGGAACCACCTCTAGCCTGCACCCCTCATCATATCTCCCTATGTCCTTCTCCTCTCTCTGTGCCTCTTTCTCCCCACCCCCCATTTTTCTCTCCAAGGTTCCCCCTACATTTTGGGACAGTCCCTAGGGTACCAAGTAGCTTCACTGGTAGCTCTTGAGTTTGGGAGAGAACAGGAAACCGACCAAGGATAATCTTAAAGCAGATGCTGAGGGTATGAACAGAAAGATCTGGATGACCACCCTGGAGCAGGAATGAGTAGAGTGGCTCCACGCACCAGGTAGTGGCCAATCAGAGCCTGCATCCTCTGACCCAAGTCTCCCTACTTGATATGCAGCTCATGTCTCGATGTTGCCTAGGAAGTAGGCCCTCTGATAGAGGGGAATGGGTGCAATTTCTTTAAGACCCAGCAGGTATCTTTTTTTTTCAAGTGTACAGACATCAAGTCAAGAGTCAAGAATCAAATCTGGGATGTCACCCTAAGGTCAGCCTCCCAGTTCCTAGAGCCCAAGATGCTGCCTGAGATAGATGCGCCACCAGGAGGATTTGAGGGATGCCTGAGTGGTGTTCCTGGTAAAGTTGCACTTGATGGGATGATCCCTAGATGACCCCAACCTGCCCTTAGTCACCAACGTGGATGGGCCGGCCAGGAACTCATCCACTCCTGCCCTAGTGGGCACTCCTGCCCCTCTGCAGTCTGCAGCCTTCTTCCCAAAACACCTCCTAACAAGGCCTCTCTGCTACGTATAGCCTGGTGTAGCCTGCTGTGAAAGTCCAGGCTGTAGCAAGCTCTTCTGAGGGAGGGGCTGAGCTGGGGGTGGAGGTGGGGGGCGGGGAACGGCCTTCTTGCCTCGTGCCATCCTGTGCGCTGCAGTTCACATTAGCCCCGTGCTCCAACAGGATGTTCAGGATGTCCGTCCAGCCCCTGGAGCAGGCCTCATGCAGGGCCGTGTAGCCAGCGTTGTCACGGTGATTCACGTCCTCACTGTCTTTCTGGAGGCAGTAGAGAACAACGTCCTGTGGGGACAGGGAGAGCTCCATGAGCAAAGAGAGGCCTAATTCTTGACATCACTCCAGTTAGCTTCAAAGCTCTCCAAATGTCCGGAGAGTAAGTCTTATTCCGGGGACTAACAGACAAGTCTCAAAATCGTTTGTCACCCAAGTCAGTCCTGAGGTCCATTTCCACGGTCTCGGCTCTGGGCTATTTTCTCAGCAGCGGGGAGACATTTCTTATGACCAATGATACTCACTCATCTGGGTGTGGGTTGTTGGGGTGAGGTCCTGAGAAAGGCTCACTGCCCACCATGAGGTCGAACTCTCAGGCCTCAAGTCCCTGAGCACTGGTTCCCTAGTTTGGAGCTTTGCAAGACAGCACCAGACCACAGAAATGAGACATGTGGTGGCAAGCACAGCCTCTGGTAGTGATTCGAGAACAAGGAAGAAGAATTGGTTTAAATACTATCTCTGGATGCTGGCTTTAATTGTTTTAAGTACTAGCCCTGGATGTTCATGCTGGGGCACTCAGTTCTACCCTCCCCTCAAATCAGGATTGCTCCGAGTATAATCCTGCGTAGTCATTTATTCACGTAGTAATGAGCAGCGTCCCTGGGCTACACGACAGGACCAGAGGCGGGACTCCAGGACTGGAAGCATCCCAACTAGTCTGGGATGAATCTGGTGAATACGCTGAGGGGGAGGGGAGAGGCAACCCTTCTTCTGAGGGGAAGAGTGGCTACCAGTGGCCTATCATCAGCCCTCTGGCAGGTCCTGGCAACAGGGTCCACCCAGGCATCCCGACTGACAGCTAGCTTGCAGGCTGGCTGACTAGAAGTGAGTAAGCGAGCGAATGTGAGTGACCGTGTGCCTGTGTTGGAGGTGCTGTCCCTTGGATATAGGAACTATCAGGCTGGCCGTACCCAGAAGAGCACAAGGCTCCATACCCTCCTCACCAGCGCAGACGTTCACCTCTTCTCCCAGGCCTCAGACTCCTCCTCCCTCCCTCCCACAACAGGCTGCCCAGCCTGCTCCTGCCCTGGTCAGTTCTCCCATGGTTTCCTATTTGCTAGTTTGGCCCCAGGTACAAGGTTAAACTTGAGGACAGGAGTTGGTCATCTTTTTTTCCTTAGATCTCCCTTAGCACCTATCCCAGCCCCCACACTAGGTACTCAAGAAAGATGGGCACTCTCAAGGCAGTTCCCCTGTGCTGACCAGCCTGGCTGGGAGTGCAGCTGCCTTTAAATGTGTCAGTTGTAGGTATTGGAAGCCTTAAAAAAAATCAGGGTCTACTCTATAACCCAGCAGCTCCACCCTTAAGAGCAAATCCTGAGGAAACAATTGGTGTGGTGGGCAAAGATACATGGTCAAGAAGTTCGTATCAACAAAAACGTCCAACAAAATTTAATTATGGTCACTGAGTCAGGCTTCCACCCTACCCTGGTACTTGGGCATCAAAAAGACCTTGGTGAGAATTCAGGCTCATACACATGAAGTAGTAAGGGACACATCATTTCGCATTGCTAAGCCTTGATGTTCTCACGTGTAGAATGGGGCTAATAAAACCTACCTCCATAGGTTAACAGTGAGATGAAATGATATGAAGAAATCAGAGCTGTTAATAGGACAAAAGTGGTGCTCAATAAATGCCAGCTTCCTTTCCAACCCATAGGGAAGTAGTGTATGGTAGGGAAACCCAGCCCTGCCCCCCCATACACTACTGCCTTCTCCACTACTGGGAGCCAAAGTGGGGGCCGAGGGAGAATATGAAGAGTGAGCAATGATCACCCCTGTTTCTCTCTGAGTGGGGGAGCCAGCACAAAGGGAAATTCAAGACATCAAAATCCCGTTTCCGGCCTAGGAATGTGTTGGATTATCAATATTGTGTTACCATTTCAATTATTTTCATTCCCAATTGATATTCAAATGAGCTTTCATTCCCACACACCTTGCTAGCTGGCCCCAGAGGCCATCTGGGCAGTAGAAGGAGTCCAGTCAAAGTTGAAACCCCAAACAAAGCCCTGCCCAGGCCACAGAAGAGCCAATGGGGAGAAGTTTCTTCACAGATGCTCGGGCAGTGGCATCCTGCTGCCAGGGAGCTCCCTACCTTATAGCCAAGACGTGCTGCCCGCTGCAGGAGGGTCTCGCCTGCATTCTTGTTCACTATGAGCCGACGTGCCTCTGGGGGGATCTGCCGGGCTGTAGGTGACTCGGAGGCCTCCTCTGGGCCAGCACTTCGGGACTTAGAGGGTGTGCATGGTTCGGTGGGTTTCACTGGGGTGGGAGATTTGGGAGATCGCGTCTTCTGCTGGCTCCAACGACCTTTGCCCTGGAAACCAGAGATGCAGTTCTGGATCAGCACAGGCTCCCACCAGTTCCTACCCAGTGTGCAGATGCCGAGGGGCTCAAATACTCAACCACATAAACCAATGATTGACCAAGGGCTCAGAAATCAGAGACTGAGGGGATATATCCCAGCTTCCATCAAGCACTCTGCATGCCCTCTTCACCTGCCTCAAGCCCCCTTTGTTGAGGTTTTTACAAGTCCTACTTGTAAATAAGCATAAGCAAACTGAGAGTAGAGAGAAGTGGAGACTTCTTTGACTGAGGAAGCACAATGGCCAAGGCCTTCACTCTTATTGCAAAAACCTGCCTTCAAACCTTCCCCAGCCTCTTTCCACCTTCCTCCATACCAAGTCCCAAGATCACATTCATGCTCAGCCTGGGTGGTGGAAAGCACTCGGGCGTAAGAGTGAAACAGACCTGGGTTTTGGCTCTGCCACCTACTAGTGCCAAGACCTGCGTGAAGGCCCAACCTCTCTGAGCCTCCCTTTCTCCCTTGTGGGGTCTTCACATGGGGAGGAAATGTGTTCAAGGAACTGTACTCAGGAACCAGACCCATGGAGCCTCATTTGCACCTGAACCTAAGTTGGATGATGAGATTCTAAACTGGGAGCTGATGCTAGGATGCCTGGGTGGCTAGTCGGTTCAGCGTCTGGCTCTTGATCTCAGCTCAGGTCATGATCTCACAGTTCGAGATTGAGCCCCACATTGGGCTCTTTGCTGACCACGTGGAACCTGCTCAGAATTGTCTCTCTCTGTCTCCCTGCCCCTCCCCTGCTCTCTATCTCTCAAAATAAATAAATTTTAAAAACACTTTAACTGGGAACTGATGTCATATTTGGACAAGACTTTGGGGGGCCTTGGGAGACATGGGTACACCTTGCATGTGGGAGGGATATGACTCACTGGGCGACCAAAGGGCAGACTTTGCCCTCATCAGATTCTAAGATGGCCCCTGATGATCCCTCCTGATGTTTGTGCTCATACGTAGCCCCCTCCTGCATTGGACAGGGCTGTTCTACATAGCCACTAGGAGATTGCAGATGATGGTGTGTAACTTCCAAGGCTACTTCCTAAAAGACAATGTGGCTTCAGCCTTGCTCTCTTTTGGATCACTTGTTCTGGGGGAAAGCAGCCACCGTGTCATGAGGACACTCAAGCAGTCCTTTGGATAAGCCCATGGGGCAAGGAAAGGAGGCCTTCTGCCAACAACCAGCGTCAATTTGCCAGCCGTGTGAGGGGGTGACCCTGGAAGTAGACCCTCCAGCCCCAGTCAAGCCTTCAGGGTAATGGACCCCTGGCTGACATCCTGACTACAACCTTGTGGGAGACCCCAAGCCAGGCCCAGCTAAGCTGCTCATGAATTCCTGACCCCCAGAAGCTGTGGGACATTTATTGTTGTGTTGAGCTGCAAAGTTTTAGGGTAATCTGTTACACCACCAGAGATAACTAATACATACCACTTAGCCAAATCCCTCAGAGCATTATCAAGGTCTCACTGAAATCCTATGTCTTCTAAAACATTCTACATTACTCTAGCTTTCTTTCTCTGCACACCCAGAACACCTAGCCTGAAACAAATAATCTGGTGCCTAATGCTTGACTTTTAACCTCCTTCCACTGTTTCATGGACAAGTCTGGCCTCCCTTGCTAGGTTTTAAGTTGCTTGGTGGCAGGGTTCATATTGTCATCTTCTCTTTTGTTCCTTACAGCACTTAAGTCAGGGGTGGACACATCATCACAACAGACATTTGTTGACTAGATTCAAACCAGCTATGTGCAGGGCCCTGGGCACACAGAAAAGTTGCCTAGAATATCCTGAAGCCAGGAAAGGAATGGCAGCAGGGAAAAGACCAGAGCCCAGGGCATTTGTTTCCTCCGATAAATCCTGAGACAACCAGAGCTGCTATCCATCCCTATCCTAAAAGGGCAGAGAGGTACAGTCACTAGCAGGAAGGCACTGGCTATGAGTGGAGAGTGTTGCTCTACGGCCACGAGGGTAGAGGTATGTAATAGCAATACTGGAGGATTCTGGGTAAAGTGCCTAGGTTTTTGCTAAGCCAAGCCGGGAGCCAAAGGGTGACTCTCCTTCTGGGGGCAAGAGCTGCCAGAGACAGGGAGGCTGCCGGAGTGGGGGGGGAGCAAGAACAAATGGGGGCCCCCTCCCCCTCCCTGGCTTGGAGCTCCTGTGTGAAGAAGCCTTTGGCCAATACCCCAGCTTTAGTGTTGCAGGCGCATCCTCCGCCCTCCCTCTGCCTTGCTTCTCACTACAAAGCACCATGCCATGGGGGTAATCAGAGCAGGTGGTGGTGACTGGGAGAGAAAGAAAGGCAGGAGGGAGAAAGGGAGGCCCTGTGAAGGGGCAAAACCTCTCTGGGAGGGACACTGCTGCAGACACTGCCAGGCAGAATAACCAGGCACAAGTATTAGCATGTGCTGCTGACCGGCAGGCGGCTGGTCACCTTTGTGTGGGACAGGGCCATCTGAGTGTCTGGGGAGGAGCAGGGAAGAGGAGGGGGATGCCCACTTTTCACCAGAGCTGCTCAGGGTTGCAGTGAGTCCCTGCCTGGCCACCCCCTCCCCCGGTGTCTCCTGGGTACAGACTGAAGCCACCCATTCACAGGGTGGAGGCATATGGAAAGAGCCGCGGCAGTCAGGCCTGCTTCACATCCCAACTTTGTCACTCATGACCACTGAGTAACCTCCTGGAAGGCCTTTAACCTTCCTGAGCCTTAGTGTCCTCACCATAAGATGAAGACAACAGTGCCTACCTCTAATAGCCGCTGTGGGAATTAAGGACGACCACGTGAATAGCACTCAGCACAGACCAGACTTCTTTATTCCTTCCCCTACCCCGCCCCCTCTGGGGGTCTGAGGGAATGGTCACTGCTACCTTGCCAATCTGTGCCTCTGTCCTCTTATCCCTGCCTCGACCTGAAGCTTGAGGATGTATACCAACCTCAAAGAGCACTTTACGGTTATCAAAGCCTTTTACATCAGTTGCCTCCTTTGTTCCCCCAAGCACCCTTGTGAGATGGAAAGGACATGGAGTATCATCTCCAATTTAAAGATGAGGAAATAGGCTTGAGTACCTTGTCTGAGCTGGAACCAGATTCCAGGAGAGGGAGAGGGAAGGGGAAAGGAGGGGAAGATGAGTCCCTGGGTCTCCCGCCTTCTGTCAGTGCCACTCAGGGATCCCTGAATGAAGCTGGAAAGAGCTGTTAAAGTCACAACCACCAAACAAGCCCAATATAACCCCTTTTTTGGTTGCCAATGACAAATACATATTATGGGTATACATTTGAACCTGGACCTTCACTTCTCTCAAATGTAAAGCTCACCGAGGACCGAGGACCACGTGATTTTTTTTCAAATGGTATAGTGTGGAACTCAAAACCAATGCTGTGAACATCAGACCAAAAAAAAATGTCAACTATGAACAGGGGTTCTAGAATGCTGGCCCGGCTACTGATTGGTGAGTGCCCAAGGAGCAAACAAAATGGGGAGTTGGGTGTGGGGAAGGGCAGCTAGAGCTCCTTCAGCCCGACCCTCAAGCAACCTTTGTCTAGATATCAACATCCTTGCTTCTACAAGTTGTTTTCTACCTTGATTGATTCAGAAAGCTCTCTGATTGGTTTCAAGTGAGTTAAGCCCAGACAAAAGCTTCTTGATTGGATATTAACAAGCTATTCAGGCTAACATCCTGCCATATTCTTCAACTCTTCCTTAACTCAAAGGAGATCCAAGGATTGTTGAAGAAAAGCCATCATGAGCCAAACCTGAGAGTTTGCAGTCTCTTATTGTTAGCTATAACTTTAGTTCCCATTTTTCTTTTTTCTAATGTTTATTTATTTTTGAGATAGAGAGAGACAGAGAGAGAGACAGAGAGAGAGAGACAGAGACAGGGGGAGACACAGAATCCGAAGCAGGCTCCAGGCTCTGAGCCGACAGCACGGAGCCCGACGCGGGGCTCAAATCCACCAACAGTGAGATCATGACCTGAAGTTGGACACTTAACCAACTGAGCCCCTAGTTCCCATTTTTCAAATGCAACCCCCAATTCTTCTAGGACTAGTTCAAAATACTGGAATAAATATGGGTTAATTTGGTCCTTTCCATCCACTCACTCACTCAGAGGACCATTCATCAAGGAGCCTGTGGAAAGTCTGCCGCCTTAGCCTGCTCCTCTCACCCCAACTCCCCTCGCTGCCAACGCACCTTTGCCTCTTCTGAGACATTCGCCATGTGCTTGGTTTTGCACTTTCGTTTTCCTGATGGCTTTTCTGAATTCTCAAGGCAGGCTGGCTCCTCCAGGTTATTCGGGAGGAAACCATTTGGTGAATCCGAGATCCCCTGGGCTTTGCTGGGCAAGAGAAGGTTCCTGTTTCTGAGGCGGTGCTCCGAACTTTGGGAGGAAGTCTTCTGCTTACGGGCCTTTAAATCTAAAGGCAAGAAACAGGAAAGAATGCATGTCAGGGAAATGGAACACATAAAAGCAATGCCTTCCTCTAAGATGAATCAGAGGCTTTGGGGGTTAGAATCTCAGTGCAAAGTTGTATAACTATCAGCTACCAGTATCTGATAGTGTGGTGCTGATGATTCCACTAAATGCTTCTCAAATGGACACCATACTTCAACATCGGAGTCTCCCCTCTCCAAGCAGGTGACGACTCCTAGCCCTGCCAGTAGGGGGCGGCCCATCTGGCTGTACTCACTATGAGGGTAATTTTAAAAGGATTTCCCCCATAGCAAATTACAACTTTCTTTTCAGCTTCTCCCCCATCCTCTTTGTCTCCTTCTCCATTCCAGTATGAAAGCAAATTTAGCAGCTCTGCTTAAGCTACTATGAAGCACACCCGGGTAGGGAGTAAATGGAGCCGTCTCCCTTCATAGCTTCAGCTCATCTACCTGATGGCCTGATTGGTCACCCTCTGAGGACACAAAGATCAAAGCCACAGAAACTCCCTGAAACCAGAAGGTGCCATAGGCCTACTTAGTTGGTGGGCAGTCGCAGAAACCTGCTGTCTTCCCTGGCTGGAAATCAAGTCACTGGAATACCCTGGGCGGCATCTCTAATTCTAGCCAAAGCTCACTAAATAAAGTACTTTCTAGCTTCAAAAAGTGTTGTGGGGCACCTGGGTGGCTCAGTCAGTCAAGCATCTGACTTCTGCTCAGGCCATAATCTTGCGGTTCATGAGTTCGAGCCCCACATCGAGCTTTCTGGTCTCAGCGCAGAGCCCGCTTCAGATCCTCTGTCTCTCTCTCTCTGACCCTCCCCCACTCAGCCTTTTCCCCTCTCTTTCAAAGATGAATAAACATTTAAAAAAAAGTGTGGGGCACCTGGGTGGCTCAGTCAGTTGGGCATTCGACTTAAGCTCAGGTCATGATCTCACAGTTTGTGAGTTCAAGCCCTGCATCGGGTTCTGTGCTGACAGCTCAGAGCTTGGAGCCTGCTTCAGATTCTGTGTCTCCCTCTCTCTCTGCCCCATCCCTGCTCATACTCTGTATCTCACTCTGCCTCTCAAAAAAATGAATAAATGTTAAAAAAATTTTTTTAAAGTGGGGTTGTGATTTTGACAGCTCTTTCCAGATCCAGAGCACTGATCCCTGAGAGGCACTGGGAACTTCATTGACAACAGCCTCACTCTATAGGACTGTCCTAATGCCCATGTATAGGGGGTATAGATTGGGTCTACCCTTACCTCTTAACTAATATTAGTGTTATGTGGCTTGACCACTAGCTGTGTAATTGGCTGGAGGCAAGTCACAACCTCCCAGAGCCTCAGTTTCTATGTCCATAAAATAGAGAAAATATATTCCACATCAGAGGGCTGGTGGGAGAATTAAATGAAGTAACATAGGCAAAACCCCTTTAAAAGGCATTATAAAGAGTGAGGCGTCCTTATCATATTATTTCAGTGCAAGCTCTTTAGGGAGGGCCATGCCCATGTGTTCTTTATTTCCCCCACAGGACTGACCGCCATGCCCAGTACATGACAAAAGATCAGTACGTCTGGGAAACGAATAGCTGCAGCCTCAGTTTCTCCAATTTGTGAAACAAGGGGGTTGAGCAAGATCCAAGAGTTCTTAACTCATCTCCCTTGACCCTGGCATGTGCTCTCACATGTGACATTACCAAGGGCAAATCCAGATGTGGGAGCCATCACTAGAGCATGAGGAATTGCTCATATAGATGATGCATGGCTCTTAGAAGGCCAGCTATCATACTACCCCTTTCTCCCAACTAGCCCCGAGCCACCAGTGGGTCCCCACACCTGTCCAAGAACTGTGGTGTTAGATGGCTTCTAATGGCAATTCCAACCAGAACATTCTAAACCAGGGCTTTTGATGCCACAAGCCCGGGCTGAGGCAAAAGAGGAAGGAAGAGAATGGTGCCTGATGAGGGAGGACCTCAAAAAACATGGGGAAGCCATATTATAGCATTTACTGCCACAGGAAAAGCAGCAGCCCCTTAACCCATTTACCCAGGGCAGGGAGGGCTCTGGAGTTTATTCAGTTGTAGTGGGGCAAGAAACTCACAGTAGCAGGAAAGAAACGGAGAATGGAAGTAGCAGGTGTGTGAGTGGAAATGGCTCTTCCTATCCCCTCTGAAGGTCAAGATGGGAGATACCCAAGTCCAGAACAAAAGGGAAGGTCATGAGACTCAGACAAAAGTAAGGGGACCTGGCTAGTTTGGCCTCTGCCTGACTCTCTGATGTCAACCTGAAAGGTAGTAATAGGAGGAATCAGAGCTTTCCAGAGAAGAGAGACATTTGCCAGGCAATCCCTTCCTGAAGAGGTCACCATTGGATCTGGAGGAAGGTAACCAAACCATATGCCAAAGCCAAGAGCCTCAATTCAACACCCTTAGACACATGCATGGAGGGAGAATGACCTACTTTCCAACAACTAAAGCTGCCCCCAAATCAAATAAGATGCATTGCTAAGTGGTGTTCTTCATACTCCCAGAGGTGTTTAAGTAAGGGCTATTGTCAACAGTGCTACAGAGATCTCTGCTTTGAGTGGAAAATGGGACCAGATCACCTCAAAGGTCCTTCTGATTCCAAAGCCAGTAGGTTCCATAAGAAGCACCCAATCTTCTAGGAAACCAGCTCTGAGAAGACTGGGTGATACAAAAGCTCTTCTTCATCCTAACACAAGTGGCTGAGACCAACAGTTTGACACCTCTTTCTTGACCAATTCCTTACGGCTCCAGCAAGAAAAGGGGAAAATTATCACCACTCTCTCACATAGTTGAGGAAAATTAGCTCAATTGCTCTGAAGTGTAGGGATGGTACCGTATATATCTCTCCTTAAACAGAGCCGGAAATGACTGCTGGCCTCCTTTGCATTACAGTAAACCCAGAATCTACTGCCCGTCACAATGCAGGTATTCAGTGTTCACTAACAGGGAGACTGTAGATGTTTCCCAGCGGCTCAGGATAAATACCTTATCAGAGACAATCAGTTGTTGCTTCAAGGGCAGAAGTCAGAGAAAGACAGTGAGAGATAGACATGTTCTTATGGAACCCAGAGATATGCTTCTTGCTCATCTGGAAATCCACTACAGAAATGGGCCCACCCCCACCCCCACCCATAACCCTGCAAAAAAAAAAAAAAAAAGAAATAGGCCGGAACAGTACTTAGCAGAACATACTGATATTAGCCTTGGTGACAGTCCATGATTACATATTATAGCATGTGACGTAGCCAACGAGAGCCTGGTTTTCTCCTTGGGCTGCCTGCTTTTCCAACTCAGGTCCAACAAAAATGATGCCACCTCAGGTCACCTCAAAGCTTCACTCTGCCTCTTAATAACCTTTGTAGCTTTAATTGAGAAAGCAATGTCGTGCCCGCTTCTACTTGAAGTTCTTCTGTTAAGTTGAGGAAACTTTGTACTTCTTTTTAGTGAAGGGGCTGAAGGTATCCCAGGAAAGGCAGCCAATGAATGCCTCTTTCTTCTTGAACCCAGGATTCTAGGAGGGAGAACCCAGCCTCCCAAGACCCAGCTCCCTCAAGCCAATCGGGAACTCCCTGGTTCAACTTGTCCCATGCCAAGGATGCCACTGTGGCCTTGCCCACAGGTTCAGACTTTTACACGAAATTGGAGGGCCCAGGCCTTCATGCCCTCTGCTCACCTGCAGGTCAGTCCAAACTCATTCAATCTTAACTCCAAGCCAAAACCTGGGGACTGGAGTTGAGTGACCCCCTCTGGCAGCTGGAGCTCATAGCACCAGGTTTCTAGGGGTGCAGAGGCTTTTGGCTGGCGAAGAGAATGCAGATGTGGGAACACCCAGGATGCCCGAGGGTCCCCAGAAGCCAAAGTCACTGTGATTTGGGGACGAGTGACAGCAGCTCACTGGGGCAGCAGCCCCCAGCCAGCCTTACCTGCTCTCCCTTTTCGCCGCTGCTCTTCTTCTTGCTCCGTCAGGTACTCCCCAGTCTGATATTTTCGGCTCTTCTGTCGTCTCCGCTTCTTCCTCTTCACCAGGCCTTCCTCCTCATCTTCCTCCTCCTCCTCATTGGTGTCCCACATTTGCCGGGCAGCCTCTGTCCTCCAGGGCATTTCTCGGGCTCGCCACAGGTGCCGGCGGCCCTGGCTCAGGAGAGTCTTGTCCTGGGCATGGTGGCTGCGATACTGGGTGTCCCGTTGGGTCTTTCTCACCTTTCGACGCTTAGCTGGGGTGGGGGTCACATCTTCTTCCTCCTCTGTGGGGAAGACCTCCTGGCTTCCCATGTCACTGTCTGCCATACCAGCAAAGGAGCTACAGATGCTTCCTGTGGACGGGATGTACAGAGGACGGTCAGGTACCTCTTCAAAGGACAAAGAGTATGGTGTCGAAGCAAGTGCCCTGGATTAGAAGCTTGAAGGTCTGGGTTCAAGTTCAGTCTCTGCCAGTTATTAGCTGTGTGCTCTGGGAAAGTTCATTCACTTCTGTTTCCTTCTCTATAAAACGGGGACACTGTTCTTTGCCTTACTGGCCTCAAAGGACTGTTTTGAGGCTCAAATGAGATAATTCACCCATAAGCACTTTACAGAGTCCAACATACCACACAAATATCGAGTATCCAAAACACACGCCCTTCCTCATCCATGTTGCTGTGACTTTAATTCATTGCACAAACTCTTACTTCGTGCTTACAAGGCACCAAGCATTAGGTGAGGAGCAGGAAGGGGCCACAGGTCCCTGCCCTTTGGGAAATTAGGGTTCAGTGACGGGTAAGGGAGGGCAGATTGGCATGGCACCCCCGCCCCTGCCCGCTATGTGACCACCAATCTCTCTGACAGAGCCACCCTGGATAAGCAGAATCATCACAAAAGAAGAGTCTCAGGAAAAGCAAAGCAAGGAGTCCCTTTCCTGTGACACAGCCTGGGTTAGTCCCGCCCAGATACTCCTCAGCCAGGCCCTCTTCCCTTACATTGACCCCACCTCCTATTGAGTGGCCAAGAGTCCAGGGGTGGAGCTCTCTCCCTGCCCATCCCCCTCCCCACTGCAGCTGTTCCTCACCACTGAGCAGGTTCATCCCTGACCACCCCAGCATGAGGGTACCTTTCCTGCCCTCCCCCACCCCACCCCCTTGGTGAGAGACCATTTTCATCCCCACTCCTTCCTTCAACTTTACTAACAACAAAAGTATAACCCTAAATTGGCCTGGTTTTAGCACAACAGCAGATCTGACGATCTTCTTCAGAAACAGCTGAGACACCATCATCTTTCTCCCAAATACTCGCTATTAACTCGACAATCCCCAAACACAAGCGAGGTGAGCAGAAGAAAGAAATGGTTTGAGGCAAAGAAAGCGCCCTTAACCAAAGCTTCAAGTCAGGCAGACCGCTCAAAGACAGCAAATATCCAGCAAACTTTCCATATACAGACCAGGCAGGGAACGAAGTGTTCTGGTTAATCTAATATTCTGGTTAATACAGAATCACCATAGAGATCACACAGAGATCACCAATTTCCAAAGAATCAAATACAGTACAATGTGTTTAACAGTAAAACGGGACTGGGCATAATGTAATCACTCTTTGATGATTCAGAAGACACTTCAGGATTTTGCGAGGCCTCCAGGCCGTCATTATGAGCCCCAATTATCACTGCGTTCTCCATGTGCTGAGTGCCAGTTAATAGAATGTCAGATAGATGAGTTTACACTGTGCCCTGCTTTCCCATTCTATCCACTTTGCATGGAAATATGGGTGAACCGGGGCAACCACTTCCAGGGCTACGAACCAATATGGAGGCTAGCAGACAACAGTGGTAGTTAGAAACAGCTATCTTCTTTTAGACGCTGAATACAAATTCAGGGACCAAATGTGATTCTACCGGCCCTGATAACTCAATGACCATTTCCAATTTTGTTGACGCCTGTCGCATAGGGCAATAAGCCCAAAGGTTCTATGTCCGTGCCTGAGACTGGCTCCACTAATCATGAGAGGCCCAAGCGTGGAGTGGGTCAGTCTTCCTGAGCAACACAGGCCTTTCCTCTTTCCATCATCGGCTGCCAACAGAGATGTCAAATCCCATTTGGAAAAGCTAAGCAAACGGTCCTAAAATCGTGGGCAATGCTCCCCCTCCCCACCCTGGGCTTTCTTGTCCCTGCAAGGAGCAGGGCATCTTAGCACAGTGAACCAAATTCCCAACTCTCCACCTGGGCCAGTGGTGAAATCACTCCACCAGATTTCTACCTCTTTTTTCAGAGAAATGCCAATATGGGCCACGGCTTCAGACTCACTCACCAGACTGACTGCGCGTCCGTGTGCTCAGAACAACAGGGATGAAGTCACGGAAACTGCTCTTTGCTTTCTTCTCCAAGGAACCTGGCGTGATGTGTGGTTTCAGGGGAGAAGGCAGAAATATCACAATCAGAGTCAAAGTACTGAAAGCACCCCTGAGGGGCTCAGATGAAAAATCAAGGTGGGGGGGTCGTGTGTTTTTCCTGGTCACATTTGTTAGCTCCCCTTATGCTATCACCTATGTACATCTTTTAGAGAAGGAGCACTTCCCAGTGGTGTCTGAAAACTGGGAGTTGGGTCATTTTTGCTGACACCAAAAAAGGCTGTGTACAGAATCGATTTGCCAGCATGCCAGAAAGTTGAAGGTCTGCCTGCCTGCATGACTACGGGGCTGCTATACCTCCACGAAGTTACAGTGAGCTGGAGCAGGTGCCAGAGAAGGGCAACCTCAATGGATCTTAGAGGACTGAGCGAGGCAGGAAGATGGGAGCAGGGAACAGTGGACAAAGGAACACTCCTATAGAAGAACAGACTAGGAAGAGGCAGTCATGTCAGACAGGCAAGGCCATGGAAACATGCTACTGCCCATGGCACTACTTGGGCAGCTCTCTCTCATGAGGGCACCAAGAAACTAGAAGTGGCAGAGCGTACAAGTCAAGTACCTGCTTCCATACTCCAAACATCCTGTGTGTCCCTAAGTAAAGGGTTTAGGATTTCCATAAACCCTTCTGGCTAGCTAGCTAGGTATTAATTTTAAAATTTGTATAATGGGAGTTTTCAAATATGCCAAAGGTAGAGAAAAAGGTGTAATGAACCTCCCTCCAGCTGTTTCGGTCTCAATCTTCATGAACCCCATTTCTTCTCTAAGCCTAGACCTGTTGCAGAGTAATGGGTTGGCTACTCTATTGTATGACTGACTTTTGTCTGTCTGAAAACCAACTTCTTTGGTCCTCAGAGTGTACCTTATTCTAGTCACCAGGGGGAATAGAATAAGCCCCTTTTCTCTTCGCTCTTGCCTCTGATTTCACAGGTGTAAATTACATCACCCTTCCATACCAAGGGAGTCTTTCCCTGGACTTTCCCGGGCAGTCCAGAGCCATCTGCCACCCCCCCCCCGCCCCCACCGACCTGCCCCAGGGAGCCCTCTGCAGCTCAGCCCAGGGGGCCAGGACCTGTGGAGCCTACCTTCCTCATGGCCATCGGCTCGTTTTCCTGGAGACTGGGAATCCGGCTTTGTTGGCTTCCGGTGCTTGTGCTTTACCCTGACTCTATTGTGCTCTTTTCCTGAATCTGAAGCCCCCCTGGGGCTCTTCTTGGTGGGTTCCTGGGGGTCACTAGGTGGCTTCCGGCACTGTGGAAAGGCAGAGAGAGTCAGGTCTGAGGTCAGTTTCGCTTCTTAAGAAAGCTTTCCCAATGGGAAGTCCTGTGCCCCGTTGGACACATGGACATGAGCTGCCCAGGTGGGGGCCAGGGGAAGGGGCCGCCTGCTGCCTTCCACAGTGGGCTACAGAGGCTTTTCTGGACTGAATCCAGTGCCCTAGCTAATCCCCATAGATATCCACACCCCATCGTATTTACAGGTCTACAGAGTCTGCATTCATAAGCAGGATTAACACCTGAAGTCAGTTTGAAAGGTGCAAAAAAGTGAGGTCCATCCAAACCGCAATAGAGACGGGCAGAAAACAAAAATGCCTCTTCGGCAAGATGGGTGACTGACTACATTGGTCAAATAACTTCAAGGGGCGCCTGGGTGGCGCAGTCGGTTAAGCGTCCGACTTCAGCCAGGTCACGATCTCGCGGTCCGTGAGTTTGAGCCCCGCGTCAGGCTCTGGGCTGATGGCTCGGAGCCTGGAGCCTGTTTCCGATTCTGTGTCTCCCTCTCTCTCTGCCCCTCCCCCGTTCATGCTCTGTCTCTCTCTGTCCCAAAAATAAATAAACGTTGAAAAAAAAAATTTAAATAACTTCAATGCGAATGGTACTATTACCAACAACTGAAAACAATTTCTTAGCCCAGGCCGACTCAAGAAAAATGGTCTATTTCCATGTGTAAATTAATACCAGAAAATAGACTCAACGAAGACAAGAAGAAAGGCATGACACAGGAGCAATTCAAATCTCCCCGTACTTATGGAAGACAATGAAAAGGCCGAGGCAGTATTAATAATGCCACTTGACACTCTGCAGCACTTTCAAAATCTCAAAATGTTCTCTTCTCTGTTATTTGATCTTATTTTCCTGACAACCCCAAACTGAGAAGCTAATATCATCCCCATTGAACAGACACGGAAACTGAGGCTCCAAGACAAGACGTTACACGAATTTGTCCAGGGCAACACACAGACCCAGGTGTGACTGCCACTTAGCAGGCAAATCTACAAATTAGCTCATTTGTGCCTGCAGTGAGAAAGTGGTGGAACTGGGACTGGGGCCTAGGGCTCTTGGCTCCCACCTGGGCCTCTCCACAGCAGCTCTTGCTCTTCTCCCTCCCTGCTCATGTCCTCCACTCTTTCTGCTCAGCCCGCTCTCTCTGATAGGCACAATGGCCGTGCTTACACAGCGCAAGGACTCTCTCAGCCTAACAGAGCCACATATCCTCATAAGCTTTGAGGTCTCTCCATGCCACCAAACAAGAAATAGGGCAAGGTAGGGATTTCCAGTATTCTAGCATCCAGGGAGTGCGGAATAAGCAAAACGTTTTAACAGTGAAAGCAGGCCCTAGGAAGAAAGGAAGGGTTGTTTTCCCCCAAGCCGACTCACATGCCACCTTCTAGAAGGTTATTACTGTATAGCTCCAGCTACGGGGATGGCAGATGTCTTATCAATAGAACATTTTGTGCGGTGTTGGGGGGTGTCTCAATTCTCCAGCATCAGGGAGTCACCATTCCCCATCAAATTCCAGGGACTCCTACTACCCAGCGAACTACTCCTGCTTCTTACTCAGCAGAGGGCTGAGCTAAAAAGTCAAGTCTCAGTTTCCCCCTTTTGCTTGCTGCTAGTTCCTACAAACCAATGTGCTAGGACAAAAAAAGAACTGGGGAGGAAAGAGAAAGATGGGGAACTGTTGGCTTAAAATCTCACCTTTAGGAATGGCCAGAGAAAGATCACTTTAAGTCAGGGGGAATAAAGTTAAATGCACATAAATCTGAACATGTCCTATTTATTCCTGAATATCATTTTTAGCTGGCTATTTCAAGTGCAGACCATTAACTTTTATTTCCTAAGACAGACAAAAACAAGTAAAACAGAACATCTAGAAAGGATTTCTGTCTGTAAGTTCTGCAAGGGCAGCACTGAGAGTAAAAACACACTGCATGCTCCAACTTAGGCAAAAAATTGGGTGGATGGGAAGACCGTGTAAGATGAATGTTCTGGTTAACAGAGTTTTGAAAGGTTTTCCAAAGAATTTTCCAAAGGATGAGAAAACAATAAAATACACCCAACACCAGATGAAGCAGAACTCTTCCTTTGCTGATGATTCAGCCAGCCCTTCAGAATTCCATGAGGCCCTAGGGCAGGTGGTATAGAAGACAGGACACTATTCTAATTCTCAGCCATACCCTGACAGGGGCTGTTTTGAATTAAGCCCTGATCTTACTTTGCTTATCAACAGTTTCTTTTTCAGGAAAATGGAAGACAAGAAAATAAAGATCTGAGTTATTTACTCTCCCCTCAAAGTGGAAGTTTCCTAAATCATTATAGGAAGCTGCTAAGGGCTGCTACAAGGCCCCAGATCTTGTAACTTTATTCTCTGTCCTGGGTATCTGTCAGTGGGCCCAATGAACTATTCATCTAATATAGTCAGGGGCAGTGCCAGCCTGTCATCAGGTCTCTTGCAAGACATAAGCTCCATGAGAGCAGGAGCCGTATCTATTTTGTTGGTAACACTAACAATAACAATAGCATCCACAAACACTTACCGAACACTTACTTACTATGTGCTAGGCACTGTTCTAAGCATTCAAATATGTCACCTCGTTTACTCTTTTTTTTTTTAACAACAACATTATTGACAGGTAATTTATTCAGATATATCATACAATTCATTTGATTAAGTTTACAATTCAATGGTTTTTAGTAGTCACAGAGTCATGTAACCATCACCTAGTTCCAGAACTTTTTCATTACCCCAAATGGAAACCCCATACCCATTTCCCCATATCCTCCAATCTTAGACAACCACTATTCTACTTTCTGTCCCTATACATTTGCCTATTCTGGATATTTCAGAACATCACCTCATTTAATCTTTACACAGCCCTATGAGGACATACTATTATTGTCTCATTGTACAGATGAAGAAACTGAGGGCCAGAGAAATTAAGTCATTTGACTGAAACCACATAGTTAGGGAAAAGTAGGACCAAGACTTAAACTCGGGTACTGTGCCTGGTTCCAGAAACGATACTCCTCACCAAAAGGCTGCACCACCCTCCTGAAGATGTAGCTCAGTGCCTGGGAGGGACTGGCATGTAGCAATCACTCAACAAACACTTGCCAATGGTTAGTGAAACAGTTACACATAAGGAGAGAAGATAGTGTGGCAGAGCTGAAGATGAACATGAACTTTGGAGCCAATGACTGGAGTTTGAGTTCTAGCTCTACCAATTAGTAGCTGTGTCACTTTGGGTAACTTACCCACTCAGTCTGTTTCCTTCATGTTCCTATCTGTAAATTGGGGATAGCCTTCACCTCATAGGGTTATTGTAAGGACTAAGTTAGATGACATCTGTAGAAAGCATTTGGTATGTTGTGTATAGTACATATAATGACAAGAATTACTGTTCTTTTTTTAATAACATTTTAAAATATTTTAATGTTTATTTATTTTTGAGAGAGAGAGAGAGAGAGAGAGAGAGAGAGAGAGAGAAAGGGGCAGAGAGAGAAAGAGAGACACAGAACCTGAAGCAGACTCCAGGTTCTTGAGCTGTCAGCACAGAGCCAGACGTGGGGCTGGAACTCACAAGCTGTGAGATCATGACCTGAGCTGAAGTCCAGACATTTAACCAACTAAGCCACCCAGGTACCCCTAATGTTCTTTTTTAAACTTTTATTTATTTACTTTAAGAGAGAGAGAGAGAGAGAGAGAGAGAGAAAGAAAGAAAGAGAGCGAGCGAGCACACACACATGAGCAGGGGAGGGGCACAGAGAAAGGGAGAGGAAGAATCCCAAGCAGGATCTGCGCTCTCAGTGTGGAGTCTGACATAGGTCTCGATCTCACCAACTGTGAGATCATGACCTGAGCCAAAATCAAGAGTTGGACACTTAACTGACTAAGCTACCCAGGTGTCCCTAAATTCTTCTTCTTATTACTACCAAGGGCAAATCACAGCTACCTGAGTAAATGCTATACATCTGCTCTACTATGTCATGACCTGTGCTCCTACTTGGCATGTTTGCCACACAGAAGTGGTTGTGAAGACACTGAGAAAACCCACCTAAGCTCTATCCCTGGGGTTCTTAATTTAGAGCCCATGGGCTGGCTTTGTGGAGGGGATGGGTCCAAGAACTTGAAATTACTGGCAAAATTCCGAGGTCATTTTCTGTGAACAGGGTCTTAGCAGCTTCTCAAAATGCTTTATGGTCCAAAGAAGACTAAGAGCTTCTGCCACAAACCCAAATTAATGGCACTCTGGCTAGAAATCTGTTCATCAGTGTGTATCAACATTCAGTTTGAAGGCTTCTTAACATAACTTGAAATCACTCCATATTTTTTAAAAGTTTATTTATTTATTTAAATAATCTGTACATCGAACGTGGAGCTCAAACTCCTGATCCTGAAATCGAGAGTCACATGGTCTTCTGACTGAGCCAGCCAGGCACCCTTAAATTGCTCCATATTTTTGAGAAGCCTTATCTTCAAGTGCTTCAAGAATTTCCCTGGATCACCAGCAGCCTTTGGATCCCCTCTGGAGTACCACTGGATTGAAATGGAATTGTTTTGACCCATCTTTTTGCCTAGAACCCTGCCACCATGAAGAACCCAGAAGCAGACACCCACCTGCCTTGCAAACCACATTCCTGATGGGTTGAAACCTGAAGCTGCCCCTCCCACCAAGCACTGGGCAGGTAGGAAACTGGCAGATGAGCCCAGAAGCTGAATTGGAATTGGCTCCGGCGCCACAAAACTCCCAGCCTAATCCTAAGCAGGCACCCCCAGCGGTGCAGAGAACAACTCTGTCCGAGGCCCCTTCCCTCCCCTTGAGAATCTCTAGTTCTCAAGGCCAGCAGTCATCTCAGAAAAGGAAAAGGAAGAATGGTTATGTGTGGAAGAGCCTGTTATCAATTGATTTCCCTCATCAATCCCTTCTCCTGCTCTCCAACCTCATGTGGGACAATGGCTTCCCTGGCCTCGGGGACCAAATCATTTCCCACATCCTACAAAATACAAGCCACCCCTCCTGACACTAAAACACCATATATGGAAAGTGTGACTTAGAAAGGGGATAGCAGGTCATTATTCACTTTACACAAGCCTTCCAAGCCTTTACACAAGCCTTCAGTTCACAGAGCTTCTCAAGAACACTGCCATGGGAGGCTGACATCTGCAGGACAAAGCAGACCTCTGGTGTCCCGGCCCTGCCCTCAACCTCAGCCCAGAACTCACCTTGGGTCCATGGGAACTCCGGACTATGACCTTGGTTTGTGGCTGCTGCTCCTCAGCATCCTTCTCTTTGCCAAACTTCATCTTCTTGGGCGGCAGAGATTCGGTCACCCCATCGGTCACCACTGAGTCTGGCTGCCACTTGTTCTTGCAGGCAAAGACACCCACGCTTTCCTGTTTCACTCGAGCCTGCCCAGCCTTATTCCGAACTTCAGCTTGGCCCCTCTGGGGAGCTGCTGGGAGGCCATCGGTGCGGAAGCAGGTGGCTAAATTGAAGACGACGTCACCATCCACCTTCTCCATTTTCACCCGCCCCAGGTCCACCTGACTTCCAAGCTGTGAAAGCTCTGTGCCGGAGCCCCTCTTGCTGCTAGGGACCACATCCATGATGAGCTCCTTGGGGCGGCTGTCATGAGGTAGCAAAGGCAGCTCGGGCATCTTGTGCAGGTTCTGGGGGGTGGCCAGGACCAGCTCGTGGGACATGTAGGTGGCCAGCACTTGGTTTTTAGGCTTCGTATCTCCTGCCAGCTTCAGACCACAAGCCCCCTGGGGACCTTCCATCTTAGGAGTGCTGTCAGGACAGAGGTGGCTCTCGGATTCCTCAGGCCCCTGATTCACTTTTATGTCCCCACTGCTAGGCTGGACAGACAGTGCCAAGGTCCCTGTCTGAGGGCTGAGAGTCAGGAGGACAGGGTTGACTTGTTCTTCGTAAGGCTTGGCAGCAATCCGGCAAGTTTTGTTCTTTGTGCCAGTGTCCTGCTCTGGAGCAAAGGGGCCTCCAGGCCGTGGCTGCCCCTCTGGAAGTCCATGCACAGCTTCACTGGGGCTGAGAGGTGACACACCAGAAAACTCAGAAACAACGCTGGTGGGCCTGATGGGCACCCCCTGACTGGGCGTCAGCTGCCCGGCACTGGAAATGCCGATGGAAAGCAGAGACGTTTGGTGGTATGGTGACCAGCCAACAGGCAGGACCTGGGTGCTGGTGGGTTTCCCATTAACTGAACACCGTGGGTAAATATTTGCTGGCCCCGTGGGCTTCCACAGAGAAAGCTCCTTGGTTTGGCACCCCGGCAGCCCGGGGGCAATGCGGGCTGGCGTGTAACGTTTGACTGTGCTTGACTGTCCCTCAGTCCCAGCCTGGCTGCCCTTCTTGCCACAGGGGGCACCAGTGCTCTTGGGTTCTCCTTGATCAATGATGGAGATGGGCTCCTGCTTGGGGAGATGGCGGGGGTCTCGGTTGAGGCCCAAGTTAGGGTCTTTGTTCAGCAGCAGGGATGCAGGCACTGGGTTGGCCACTCCCACGTAGGTGCCAGGAATGGTGCTGATCAGCGCAGTCGAGTTCTTCACCCAGGTGCTTGGGTCCCCGTTCCTCACAATGTCGGGAAAGATGACAAAGGGCGAGGAAGTAGAGCCCAGGCAGGAGGTGACATTGCTACCGGCAGCCTGGGTTGTGCGCTGAGACCTAGACAAAACTGTGGAGAGGAGTGCCTTGCTGCTGGTGTGCACAGGGGTCAATACGGGCATGGGAGGTGTCTTGCGTTGGTTGGGCAATGGAAGCTTCTGGCGGTTGGACTTGGAGGAGAGGTCGAGGGGCATCTCACTGCACTCAGGTGGAGATGCCATCTCTCGCTCCAGCTGTGGAGGTGACTTGAGGGGAGAGAAGGTGACGGAAGTCCCTTCTGTTTGCTGCTCGGCACCACCTGTCATCTTGGCAGGGTGTGGCGGGGCTGAGCTCACGCTGGGGGCTGGCAGCAAAGGCTGTGGGGTTGGAAGCACCTTGGCAGAAGCAGTAGAGAGGGAAGTATCTGCCAAAGGCCCGGGGACCCCATCGGGTGCAGACTGGGTGCCGGTGCTGCTGGATGGGGAAGCACAGGGAAGCCTGTTCACCTCCAGAGAGACAAGCTTGGAATCTGAAGTCAGAGGCCGGGCAACAGAAAATGCATATGGGTAAGACCGTAGCTCTGGGGAGGCCAGCACACCAGGGAGACACCTGTCCTGAAGGTATGAAGGCAGGACAGGGAGTGTGAGAGTGGAGGAGACTCCCAGAGTGGTTGGCAGCGTGGCCATACTGAGCGGCTGCCCACAGCTCGGAGGTGGGATATATACCAGCGGCTGGCTCGGGGTCAGTACTGTCCCTGGCTGAAAGGACAGGGGTACTTTTTGCATAGCTGGTGCCTGAGCTGCAGGAAAACATACTCGGCTCAAACTAAAGGAGGCTGGGATTGGTGCAGAGGTGGGAATGGCAGCCGGTGTGGCGGCCGGCATGGGCGTGGGGGCTGGAGTGAATATTGGGGCTGGGGTGGGCGCAGGCACTGGCGTGGGAGCAAAGGCAGGAATGAGGGTGGGGGTGGAGGGTGGGCCAGAAGATGGGGTTGGGGTGGGCATCGGCACCGACGGAGGGGCAGGAGCTGCCGGAGGTGTGGACGCCGGCATGGGGGCCAGAACTGGAGTGGGGACAGGCGTGAGGACCAGGGTTGGAGCTGATGGGGGCACAGGGGCCTGGATCAGAGCCAAGGGAGGAGCCGAAACTGGGACCGAGAGGGGGGTAGGGGCTGGAGCCGACAGGGGGACCGGACCTGAGGGGGGAGCAGAAGCTGGCACAGGCACCAAGACAGAGGCTGAAACCGAAAGGGGGTTCGAATCAGAGATGAGTGTGGGCACCGATGGCGGCGCTGGAGCCAGAGCTGGGACTGGTGCTAAGGGAGGGGACGGGGCTGGAACTGAGGTGGCGACCTGGACGGGAACAAGCCCAGAGTGGGGCACCGGGGTGGGGACGGAGAGGGGAACCTGGAATGGATCTGGAACAGACGGGGGGACGGAAGCTGAACTGGGAGCGGGGGGGCAGATGGGGGCTGGCAGCGGACTAAAGTTAGTGGGGACCAGAGGCAGGGTTCCCTCCACAGGGACTCCAGTCCCCAGAGTTGCCAGAATGAAAGTATTCTTCTCCCCAACACCGTGCCGAGAGTCCAAAGCCTTTACCCCAGCTGCTGAGCAGTCTGTTTGTTTGCTCATTTGGGTGCCGAGGGGAGCCCAGGAGCAGTCAGCCCTGCTGTTGGCAGCGTCGGCACTGTCGGGAGTGGTAAGCTTGAGCCCGTCTCCGGGGCTGCTCAGTGGCACCAATAGGCCCTCAGCCTCCGCCACGCTCCCAGCATAGTCCATTTTTGGCTGGGGGTCGTCAGGCTTGTCTTCTGACTTGTGCCCAAGTTTTTCTGCTGCATTGCCATCTGGGTCTGCCCCCCGGGCATTGCTGCCACTTCCAACTGCTGTGAGCTCCACCTGCAACGACAGAGCAGCGTGCCCGTCTTAGCTAGCTCTCTGTGGATGGCGCAAGTGTCCCGAGGCCCGGGAGAAGCGACTGCTGGTCCTCTTTGCAACTCGACCAACCGGGTCTCGGCAGAAGCAAAGAGCAGCTGGCCAATTTCTGTCTCACATACGGCAAGTCCTGGGAAATACCCTGTTCCTTCCTGCCCCCCTTCTTGGGATGGCAGACCGGGCACGTTGCCCGGGGCAGTTTGGCTCCGCCCTTTGGCGGGCGACATGTGGCTTCACATGGCCCCTTACCTTGGAAAAACTGCTGCTGACACAAAACTCCTGAGATCCAAACCGCTGGCAGTCACCTGTCGTGGACTCCTCATCAGAAAGAGGTGCTCTTCTAGCATGGGAGACACAACCAGAGAAGAGCCATGAGGCCTAGCCTTTGGGCCAACACCACCTTCGGCAGAACACCTCCTGCCTGCCTGGGTTCCCATAAAACCTTCCTGTCCTACTTCTCTTGGTGGCTGGGAGGACATTACAAGCAACTGGAGGGGTTGAAGTCACAAGCCGGAGCCTGCATGCCCAGCTTTGCAAATTCTTGTAAAGGAGCCCAATCTGACTAGACTCCCCTCTTTGGGCTATGTATCCTTTTTTTCTGGGGCTCTCACCAGGAGTGTGGAGGACAGCCCAGCACCTTTGCTTTGTCCCCAGAGCTTACCCATCAAGGTGATCGTCCGGCACGTATTGGGCATTGCCAAAAGGGGAGAGATGAATCACAGAAGATCTCAAAAGGCATGCAAACCAGTTTTCTCTTAAGTACACTCTTATTTTAAGTCTATAAGGGAAGTTGGCTGCTGGTATCATAAGGGTAATCCTTTTCTAAAACAAATAACCACCTCCATTGTGTGTCATGTTCTAAATTTGAATCATCACCTATTCACCCGATGGGGTTGCCTAGAGCAGATACACATTTATTAGGGTGCGTAATGATACTGATTCGAGGCCACCAGGTCACTGGGTGCTGAGGGGCATTTCAAGGGCATGACTTCTTTCCCTCTGGGGCACCTCTTCCCCTTTTCTAAAGCACCACCAAACTCCAGCCAGCACCTGCCCTCCTACATTTCTATCCTTGCCTGCACGCCATGCCTGCCAGCTCCCCACTCCTCCTTCATCCACTCTCATCCCAAAGGGTGGCCTGCAAGGCCACAGACTCCAAATTCAAGTTGGTATATTGCAAAGGAAAGGGCTGAACACCAGAGAGCTCAGTCCCAAAGGAGAAAAACCTAACTGAACTCCAATCTACTCAAAAAGTCTTCTGTAGATTTTGAGTAAGAATCTTAGAAAATAGGGGCACGTGGGTGGCTCAGTCAGTTAAGCATCTGACTCTTGGTTTCGGCTCGGATCATGATGTCATGGTTCATGAGATCGAGCCCCACAGTGGGCTCTGAGCTGACAGCAAGAAGCCTGATTGGGCTTCTCTTTCTCTCTTAAAATAAACTTAAGACTACAAGGTGAAGTTCAAGACAGGACAAATACCCACTAGAAATTTAGTTTTTTGAGAAGAGTCACTCTCTGCCCTAGGGAAGACACTAATGGGGCAAGAGCCCAGGTGAGTGGCTGAGTGGAAGGTCTGGGTGCAAGAATAAAGCTCCAACAGAAGTGCTATGGCACAGCTCCAATGGGGAAAAGCACAGGAACGCTCTGTGTGCCTCTGGGGAGGTGGGCCACCTTGCGTCTTTGCCCTCAGCTCTCCAACAGCCTAGGAAGAAGCCAGCATCTGCCTCACCAGCCACCCTAACCTAGGACAGTCAGAGAGCCTGTAGCCAACCCCCACAAAAATGGGGAGGGTCCTGCTAACTCCCTCCCTCTCACTGGAACAGGGCACTGGTGATGGACTCCAAAATTGTACCTGGGACAAGAGAAGCGAAAAAGGCAAGGGAGATCACCACAGTCCTCTTCCCATTGTTTCAGGGCTCCAGAAGGGGCTAACCAGGGGGAAATGTCTGTCTGGTCCCATTAAAACGTAACTAGGCTGGCAGAAGTGGGAGGGTTCCACTGCTGGCAATGACTGCTGGTGACAAACAGAAATGAGTGTAAGGACAGGCAAGGGCTGGAGATGCAGTCAGGGGTCTCGAGGAAGGGGAGGAAGGGGGCCCTGGGGGAAAGGGAAAACATACTTTGACATCAGCTCCTGGGAGACCAGAAAAGCAAGGCCTATACTCCCAGCCTTGGGCCAGGGAGAAGCATATTCCAACTGGACTGGCCAGTGATGGTTTTGGAAGGAGGACGGTGGCAAAGGGAAACAAGCAGCATTGCCCTCCCCCTTGCGAACCCCACCTGAGGGGCTGGGGACCCCACCTGCAGGGGCTCCCAACCAAACAAAGGGGATCTAGCTGCATATCAACCCCCTGCCCTTGCTGGACTCCCACCCCCGAATAAAATCACCTTGAATGCAGGAACCCCGCCCTCAAAGACAGCCACCAGACACCAGCAGATCCAGCCTGCAAGCCCAGAGACTCTGGGGGTGACAGCGGCAGTGGAAGCAGCAGTCCTGGCCACTCCAGCCATACCCATGCCTGAGTACCAGTCCCTGAGGCTCTGGGAAAATGTTGTGTGGCCACGTTTCAAATCCTCAGAGGAGAGGGGTGTGCAAAGCTAAGCAAACATTAAATCGCTCCATGGAGAGAAGAGCCTGGGACAGGAATAGCTTGCAGGGGAGGGGTGCACAAAGAGAAGTGGGTCAACCAGGCAAGGTTAGGAGAGTATAGGCAGCAGGGAGGAGGGGGCAGGGGTCAAAGCAGGCTTCAATCAGGACTGAAAATCAATCCCACCATTTCTTCCCAACAGAGATGTCCCTGGGCGATTGTGCTTAAGGCTCTGTTAAACTTAAACCAGAAGTGGCCATAACCTTTCAGGGCTGTTTTCCTAACTATTAAGGGCTAGCACCACTGTCCAACCAGATCTTTTTCAGTTCCCACTGGGCCCTGATCACACCATACACATCAGGCCCCTTAGATTCTATCCCCTGCAGACTTTCCCTGCCTGAGTCCCAGCACACCCCAAGACCACCTGCATTCCAGCCAGGGTCTTCCTGAAACACACCATGTGGGAAATATCAACCCTCACCTCAAACTCCTACTCAACCCTCAAGCCCCTGCCCAGATGTCACTGCCTCTGGGAAGCCCTCCCTTATTCCCCCAGGAAGTCTGCCATTCTTGCATCTAGACTCCCACAGGACCTGTACATGCCTCTCTATAGCACTCACCATCAGTGTCCCATGACTGTTGGTTTGCTCTTGCTGGATTTAATAAATGTTTGTTGAATGAAGGAATGAATGGATACAAGACAGAAAGCAAGCGAGCAAGAAAACAGAGAGTCAGCCAGAGGTTTGACTAGAGTCAGCCGTCTGGGGCTCCCAGAAGGGCCCTGCCCCTGTTCTCACAGTCCTCAACTGCATCTGATGAAGCTGGTCAGGTTTCTCAAACAATTTTAAGAGTTAGCCCCCACGTGCAGCTTTACACCCAAAATTTCTAAGTTCTACCATTTGTAAAGGGCTGAGGAAGATGATTTTTAAATAAGGTGGGATACCATTTTGGAAATCAGCTGTAGCATGGCCTAGACTGTAGAGGAAGGTGACAGTAAAGGGTAGATGAGATCAGAAGTGACAATGCTTAAAAGGTCATCTTAACCACTAGGCATATTTGGTAATGTAACATCCCAAGAAAGGTCCATAAAGAGGGAAAGTCAGGTTTGGGACTCACTTCCTGTTCCTTTCTCAGCAGGGATTTAGCATGGACAGTGAAGCAAGGTAACTTGTCCACTGATTTTTTAAAGGCTCTAGTCCAAATCTCTGCCTCCAAGGCTCAACTACTTATAACGAGTTGCCAGTGAATGCTTATACAAATCGATACCACCACCCTCCTTCCCCCAGTTCATCTCTTAGTAAGTATCTAAGGACATACTTCACACCCAAAGGAAAATATCTTTCTAATGCAGATCTGAGAGGGATTTTGTCTTATTTTCCTTAGTCCTGACTTATATTCTAAAATTAAATTCCTTTTAAGTCCATCTCTAACTTGTTCCTCAGCATAGAGAACATTAAACTATTAGGCACTAATGGCTTTAAAAAAAAATAAAAAGGTCTATTCTCCTAACCTGAACCTAAGACAAGTATATAGTTCTGTTAAGAGCAGAAGAAAAAAGAAGATACACACAAAGACGTCCATTCCTTTACCCTTCGAAATTACCAACATTCCCCCACATGCACACACACCCATTGCACACACTCCCAAGATTTACCCAAGGAGACACCAGATTTGAATCCTAGGAAAAGCCATATTGTTCTTTATTCTAGGGGATTGATCTGATGTATTTGGATTTATTTATTTTTTTAATGTTTATTTATTTTTGAGACAGAGAGAGACAGAGCACGGATGGGGGAGGGTCAGAAAGAGAGGGAGACACAGAATCTGAAGCAGGCTCCAGGCTCTGAGCTGTCAGCACAGAGCCCGACGTGGGGCTCGAACTCACAGACTGTGAGATCATGACCTGAGCTGAAGTCAGTCGCTTAACCGACTGAGCCACCCAGGAGCCCCTGATGTATTTGGATTTAAACAGTTGATGGATTGAAACAACAGCTAAACACCAGCAAGCCTGGCTTTTCTAAAAATGAGAGAGGCACTGCAACTATCACACATCTCTGTCTTTGTCCCAGGCTCACAAAAGTCAAATATAAAATCTGAAGGCCATTTGGAGTGTCCTTCCTATGGAGAGTGATCAGTAAAGGGCATAGTTTGGTCAACCAAACATTTTGGTGAACAGAAAATTTAAGACAAACACGTATCACCAATTATCAATTTCGTATGACAACTACATTAAGCCATTTGATCTTCCTGAGATACTTCATAAGGATCTCACTGCGAATCATCATTAGCCTCATGAGGCAGGAAAGCGCTGATCACCAGAATACCCACTAACAGTTCCCAGTATACAGCTGAATAATAAAACTGTCTTTCTTCCAGGCTTAGATCAAGGACCAAAAATATCTTATGCGTATCCTTGAGCACCGAACATGGATGCAGCAAATAAAAATTGCAATCGTCTGAGCTTCCCCTCACTCCACAATCTGACAGTTCTTAATGAGTAGACAAATGTTAGTTGGACAAAGGTCATCTGCTGGCCTCCTCACCTTCATCTGAACAGGAACGTCATGGCAAGGCAGGCCACTGACACAGTCCCAGCCGCATCCCATCTCAGGAAAATTAGCAACCAAAGCCTCTTCCCCCGGGTCCCTCCCAGGGAGTGCTGTAGCTGTCCCTCTGGTGAGTAGGTACCGCTCACTGGAAGCCAGCAACAGCTACCTTCCCAGCCTCCTCACCTCTCCTCGTTGATGCCACACATGCGAATCCGGTCAGAACTGGTCCAGTTGTGCACGCCGCTGTAGAGTGGTGCTGTCGAGATCATGACAGCCACTCACCACCAGATAGGACCTGCTGTGGCCGCTCCCCCTGGGAAAAAAGAACTCCGAAAAATCAAAACTCGTAACAGGGACAGCTGCTTTAACCACCTTTAACAAGGAAACATTTAAATAAAGGCAATTATGGTACCAAAACATTAAAGCAGTCTTTCCCACAAGGCAGCCTGCTAAGGAAAATTAAGGTCCAAATGGGGATGAGGGTGCACCAGCTTTCCAGGAATCCATAGGTTTCAGGATGGAGACGAGGATGCTGTTAATCACCTAGAGTGATTTTTAAATTATCTTAAAGACAGATATGCCTGAGTGTTCAAGGAAATTCAATCTATTCCAGACAAACGAGATGACAGTATATTTTTTCACACACATTTAGCCCAACCAACTGCAATTAGAGGGTTGTTCCCATATATGAACAATGCGTTGAAAGACTACTGGGGATCTTTTTCTCAAACCTCTCTAAATCCACGGGTACTGAAGTATTTGAGTGATGTACCAATTTAAGTTCTCCAGAGGAAGCACACGCTTTCTTTATAAGCCCTTCAAAAATACTCTATTCTGATTTAGACTTGGGAGTTATACAGATATAACACGTATATCTAAGCTGGTTTAAAGTTCCCTAAAAATCAGATGCAATACCCCTTGTACTCTGGCCACAAACAAGTGAACAAACAAAAAACAACGGTCTGTGAAAAAACCACACATTTCTGTCCTTGTCCCTTTCTATAGGTCTTGTCATCCCCATGACCTACCACCCCCTTCAGCAGCTAATGTCCAGCTGTCGCTGTTGACAACCACTGCACAGCCAATTCACCCTTCTAGAGAAAATGAGGCATCAAGAAAAAGAGGTTTATGTTTACCCAATGAGCTTGTCTTAAGACCCTTAAACTCTTGAATTAACTTATTAGCTAAAGTCTTCTTCATCAAAGCTCAACTGAACAGAACCCTCCAGTGATCAGAATTTTCTGTTCTCCACTTTGCCAAGAAGTAAATCACTAAAATACAGTCACATCAGGGGTTTGTTTCATTAATTCTTTATATAATTTTCAGAGACTGTCCACATTCAACACAATAGCACTTATCCATTCAACAAATATTTACTGAGCTCCTACTGTATGCCAGCACTGTCCTCGGTACTGGGAATTCAACAATTACCTAACAACACCGAAATCACTGCCTTCATGAAACGTGTATTCTAGTGGGATGAAATGGACAATACACATGTGAAATGATTCCTGTTATAGTATAAGGTGGTATATAACACAAGCTAAGGGCCATGGTGACAGAGGTGGGGCGGGGGGGGGCGCAGAATGGGCTACACTCTGTAAGTGGGTAATCAGCATATGTCTTGCTGAGGAGACATTTAAACATCCTGAAGGAAGCAAAGGGGTGAGCCATGTGGATATCTGGGGGAAGAGCATTCCAGGCAGAGGGAACAATCTATGCAAAGGTCCTAGGGCAGGAGGCTACATGATAAGATCAAGAAAGAGCCAGGAGGCCAGGTGGCTGGTACAGCAGAGTCTCCAAGCAAGGGAGACAGGCAGTACAAGGACAGCAGAGCCACAGCCTCCCATTCTCATCCTGGTCCTCACCCTCCCCATGTCTGTGGCGCAGGATACTTCTGCCCTTGCTTTCTTTGTACTTGCCCCACTCTTGGCTTTCCTGACCCAGTGCCTGATGGCTTCTCCAGGCTCTTCTCTCTCTCTACCCACCCCAGAAACCCAGCCCTCATCTTGCCTGGTCTCTCCTCACCCCTGTGAGCCCCCATCTCTTCCCCTTCCTTCCCTCTCTCTCTCCCTACCCCCTTCTCTCTCTCTCTTCTCCATTCCCTCTCAATTTCTCTTTCCTATTCCCCTCTTTACTCATCCTCACCTCCCTCTTCCCCCTGTTATTCTCCCATCTGTCTCTCTCTTTACCTCTTCCCTGCTTCTCTTTCCCCTTTCCAATCTCTCTTGGCACAATCTGCACTCCTCCACCTTCCTCCTTGCTCCCCTCATCCTCATTTCTCCCTTGGGATCCCCTCTCTTCTCCCTCTCCTCCCCCTTCCCTTCCTCCCTCCCCCTGCATCCCCCTCCCTTCTACTCTTTGTCCTCACCTCAGCCTTCAGTCCCCCCCCATCTGTCTCCCTCTATCTCTCTTATGTCTCTTTCTGTCTCTCTAGCTCAGTCTGGCTCTCCTTGGTTCTCCCCCACTCCACCTGTGTGTGTGTGTGTGTGTGTGTGTACCCTGCTCCTTCTCCTCTCTAGCTCCTGAGCTCCCCCAGTTGCAATTCTCCCCTTCCTGCACCAAAGACTCCCAAATCTGTATCTCTATCCCTGACCTCTCTCCTTAGACCCAGACCAGAATTTCCAGCTGCCAGCAACTTGCTGTTAATTGGATGTCCACCGAGCCCCTCAAACTCAATGTGTCTCAAACCGAACTCATTATCTGTTCCCATAAACCTGCTCCCCACCCCCCCACACCCAGTTAATGGCACGACTATCCCCCAGCCTGGAAATTTCAGCAGTGTCGTCTTCAACTCCTCTCCCCCCCCCCCCCACCGGCTGCCCACAGCCAATCAGGAGTCAAGCCTTAATAATGCCATCTCCATCCTCTCCTGCCCCTCTTGCCACCACCCTGATGCAGGCCCTCTATCATCTCTCACCCAGAATATTACAATAGCCCCTTAACTGGTCCCTTTGCCTCCAATTTCTTGATTCTACAATCAATTCATCTTCTGAAGCACCAGTTCGATCATTTTGCCCCCGCCCTCCTCAAAAGCTTTCAATAGCTTTTCTGTCTTCAGAATCAAGCCCAAATTTCTTAGCACAGCATTCCGGGCCCTCCAAGACCCGGCCTCAAACCTCCTCTGGTCTCCTCTTTGGCCACATCCTGCTGTTTTCCTGCCGCCTCGCTGTCCCAGCTCCTGACCCTTCCCTGAACAGACCATCCAGTTTCAGGACTTTGCTGCTTCCTCACCCTGCAATGGCCTCTCCTGTGCCCCTCCTCCTCTCTGTGTCACCCCTCAAAGCCTGGCTTAAATGTCATCATGTCATCTCCCAAGCCCCAGCCCCTGGTCAGTTAACCCTTCCCTCTCTGGTTCTCCTCAAACGTTGTATTCCTACCTCTCCCACAGCACTGATTCTTACTCTTCTCTGCAGTGTGGTTATTTGGGGGTATGGCATGTCTGTCTCCCCCACCAATCAAGCTACTTAAGGTAAGAAATATCCTCTTTTCTGTCTCTGGTTCCTCTGCAATGTCTTACATATGGTAAGTACTTCAGTAAATGAGTGTTATATGGAAGTGAATCCTGGAGGAGAATTGAGGTGATGACCTTGAGAAATTACAAGGAAAATCAACCCCCCCAAAAGTGTCCCTTGTGCTTAGTTACTATAGGAAAGAAGGCTGGACTTCAGTGAAAACACTATGCGTTACCTATAGCACGTCGTTTGCAGCAGCATGATTCCAGCATAGTCCATTGTCTTTGAGTTGTTTTGCCCCTCTGTAAATTGCAGGTAACTGATGGATATGCAAACTCTGTATTGTCCCATAGAGTTTGGAGTGACTTCCCTCCCCATTGTGGAAAAACCAGTTTTGCCTCCATTTGCAATTCAATTCCTTTACTCCATATAAATTTGTGCTTTTGGACTTTTTCTCTGAACCAGCTAGAACATCTGTCTGGTTCCCTGGCTGATTAATGAGTAGAATAAAATCTTTAACACATGTTCATTTTTACATCTATATAAGACTCATGATTTTACCTTTTTCTAAAAACTATCCTTAACATTCCTAAGACAGCTATGTGGGTTAACGCATGATTTTAGAAAGATTTCAACAAGGGGTAAGACAAATGGATGGACTGTCTGTTTCATATCAGTTCACCAGGATCCCATCCCATCCCTGAACATCCTGGTCAATCAAGTTGTGACTTTTTCTTAGACTAACTTGGAATATCCCAGTTTAAGAAACAACAGCTCAGCCCGTTGACTGACACACCAGGTACTTTTTAAAAATCTTTTCTCCCTATGAAGCATTAGAATAAATCAGGCAATGAAAGGGGTTACACTTGCCACAAGATGAATTTTAACACAAAGTTTGAGTTTAGTGCCTATCTGAATATCTGTAGGCAGCAGATATAAGTCAAGTCACCACTGCTTTTTCACTCTTGGGTTTATTTTTGTTCTATTTAGAGGGGATTAGTAGTTTGTAGTGCCTGGGACAGAAATCAGAAGGGAGAATGAGGCCTGGCATTTGAAAACACAACACATAAAATATCATCGCCTAGATAAAGGAGTTTTTAGACCTCTCAAAGCAAAAATAACAACAACAAGAAAACCAAGAAAAAACCAAAATAATTACCAGATAATATCACACATTTTAGGACTACCTAAAGGCACCCCTATTTTCATGAGATCCAGAAGATAGAATATTTGCTTAACTCTTGGCTTCCCACTCTTCTGTTATGAATTCCTCAGCCCCTCTTCCTATGTAAGGCCTACCGCTGCTATTAACTGTAGCCTTTGCGGAGGAGGGGAGGGGAGAGGCAGAAAGCAAGGGCAAGAGGGCAGTGAGCTAAGTGGTCTACACAAGAAGGCAAAATTGGTCCTCCGGAGCCAGAGAGTAAGCAAAGGGAACTTCCAAAGAGGCACTGATGGCGTCAATGTCCACAGGACCGGAGGAGTCCAGATGGCCAATGTACACCAATGTTTCCCAAGTCAGAATCACCAAAGAGCTTGTTCAAAATACAGATTCATTAGTCTCAGCCCTGGAGATTCTGATCTGGTAGGCCCAGGGTGTCGTTTCATCATTACCATGTCCAATCAAATTAGTAACCACTCCACCGTACACTGCTTTTCAAGAGAGGTGAGCAAAACAGAAAAACCTTACACACACCACCCTTGGTAGGTTCCACTGGCATACACACTTGTGTACTGACTTGCTTTTGCTTACAAAGCCTGCATTCATGTGTGGTGTGCATTCTCAATCTGTGTGTCTTGCTCTCTGTGATGGGAAC